GTGTGTGACGCCGTGTTGACACATGAACTCCAATAATCCGACCAGTAGCCATGAAACCACTCTCGATTCTGCTTCCCAACCAATCACCCACACTCTCCCATTTATCCCACATGCCCTCATCAGCGCACACCAAAAAATTGGCGTCATTCTGGGTCTTAGTCTGTCTCAACTCAAGCTAAATAACTCTTCATGGACATTGTCCAGAAGCTCAGAAACTGCGAAATGATTTGCAAAAAATCACCGTGGTCAGTCACTGGATTTGCTATTTTCTTTTTCAAATATAAATGCTAGTATTTGAGTAAAATTATCTTGGGAGATTCAAAGGATGAATGAAAATAAATTACAGACCAGGACAGATTTTTTAACGTCACCATTACATTGCATTCGGTGATGGCGTCACCGAAAAATAACATCGGGCAAGGCAAGGGGGATCCACCTAAATTGGCGTTCTCTAGTGATGGCTCGAGAACCCTCGTGTGGAGTGTAGCATTCCATGGTAAATAATGGATTGGCATTGAATGGGATGGAGGGAGCTTGAGCTGTGAACCCCTGCCCCTTTGGGCAGAGAAGTTGAGAGAGGGAAACGGTTTTAGACGAGCCGACTGAGGCCACCGTGAATGCAAAGGAGAAGAAATCAATGCTTTGTTATTCGTAAAAGTCGTGTGATTTCTGCATATTTTGCTTGGTGGTAACCCAGTGAGAAATCATGGAGTAAGCAGGCAAGCGATGTGGCATAAACTAACACTGCGATGACCCCTTTAAAAAGACTACGAAGCTTCCGAAACTGAGATTAACTCAACACGGGTAAACATCAAATGTAAAAACACGGTAAAATTGTCACATTTTACACAGGGGTTCGATTAAAATCAGTCTAACGCAGACCCAGTCTTGTTAGCCGTTACGTGTTTAGCGTCGACAAGAGTGGCGGCAATTTTTTGGTTATCAGCAGCCAACCGATTTGCATAGTTTTAAAAGCAAAAAAAAAGAAATATCGCGCTGGCAGACGGACGAGTGAGTCTACATGGCCCAACCAACCAGGCCCTATTTGCATCTTTGAGACCGGCAATGAATAAAGTGCGTTTGGCACCCAATTCACAGCTGATATTATTACATGGGAAGTGGTCATTATTTCACCCAGGAAAGCTCTTTTTAACGAGCATCCTACGTGGGACGTTTGGCCAATTCCTTAAATTGGGAATTTTATGTTATTTCAATGTCAGTGGTAATCAGAATTCCTGCAGAAATCCCACACGTACGCGGGGATACAAGTCAACGATCTGCAAGGAAAGGCGAGTAAACGACTTGCTGTACTGCCTTCCATGGGCCACCCCACAGATCTGCAGTTGGGCATCATGCACATGATAAAATCTGCATAATTATAGCATATCATTTGTTACTTAGTATTTTTATGGAACTAGTTTAAATCAATAGTATTTGTCAACAATGTTCCTGTTTTGAAAGAAACTTCATGATTTAGTTTGAGCCGTGTTTCAGATATTTAAAATTGTATTTCATTTTTCCGAATGTCAATATTCTTTGGTACGTGGTTCTCAGTACAGGCGTGGTTCATCATTGTTGATATGATCGACACATCAACACCCTCAGCACCATCATGATCGTCGTGATCATCATCACTACAGTCTGTACAGCTCAACAGTGAATGATTGTTTTTCAAATAATCCCTTGTGTAAAATTAAAACATTGCCATCTGTGCCTCTACAAGACTGGATTTTGAAAGTCCCAAATTCCAAGAATTTACACACATAAGCAGCAAACATTTCCCCAATGTTTCTCTGCGCACTTTAAGATAATTTAATTAATTTTCTTAATCAAGTTCCATGTCTCTGATCCAGAGGCCAGAGAAGCATGCTTGGAATTGCAGTAATACCCCGGTTTACGTCGCGGATGCATTCCTGAAAGGCGGGACGACGAATATCGAAACGACGAGAAAGGACGGACGATGCTGTTGGCGACGTAATTGTGTGTTGAGGCGACACAAATCAGGTAGTGTGGTAGTAAGAAAGTGACGACGTAAAAGGGGGAAGACATAAATCGGGGTATTACTGTTCATTGTGAGACACGTGGATGAGAGATATGCACACGGGTTAAAAGACAATGTTGACTGTTAATGAAAGAGAAGTGGGCTTGGGTTTGGGACACGTTGCCGAGAAGAGACGATGGGCCGGTGGTTGAAACCAACGACGGAGTGGCAGCCGATGGAAAGCGGCCCGGGAGGACGGCCTCCGTGAAGATGCAGCAGCGAGATAAAGCTCGTGTGCAAGCGCTGGGGGTGGATTTGTTGTATCACAAAACCGTGAGGAATATTGACAGCTAGGAAAGGCCTTCATCCAGCAATCGATTGACCATGGCTGTTGATGATGATGGCACAGCATAGACAGTGTCGAAGATACATTCGAACACACCACTTGGCCCTTTCGTGCAAATGACCTAGAGAATACATTTCTTAATTGTGCATTTGAATTTAAGTTCTATGTCAAACTGTAAACGGTTTAAAAAATATTAAATAAACACCCTTAGGCCACGATTGTTTCACTTTGACGATTGCTATTGCGAATGCACACAGCTGTCTTTGGATCTCTGACAAATTAAACGGACATTTTGCTGTTGGTGAATTCCTGGTTTATTACAGTGAGGGAAAAAAGTATTTGATCCCCTGTTGATTTTGTACGTTTGCCCACTGACAAAGAAATTATCAGTCTATAATTTTAATGGTAGGTTTATTTTAACAGTGAGAGACAGAATAAAAACAACAAAAATCCAGAAAAACGCATGTCAAAAATGTTATAAATTGATTTGCATTTTAATGAGGGAAATAAGTATTTGACCCCCTCTCAAACAGAAAGATTTCTGGCTCCCAGGTGTCTTTTATACAGGTAACGAGCTGAGATTAGGAGCACACTCTTAAAGGGAGTGCTCCTAATCTCAGCTTGTTACCTGTATAAAAGACACCTGTCCACAGAAGCAATCAATGAGATTCCAAACTCTCCACCATGGCCAAGACCAAAGAGCTCTCCAAGGATGTCAGGGACAAGATTTTAGACCTACACAAGGCTGGAATGGGCTACAAGACCATTGCCAAGCAGCTTGGAGGGAAGGTGACAACAGTTGGTGCGATTATTCACAAATGGAAGAAACACAAAAGAACTGTCAATCTCCCTCAGCCTGGGGCTCCATGCAAGATCTCACCTCGTGGAGTTGCAATGATCATGAGAACGGTGAGGAATCAGCCCAGAACTACACGGGAGGATCTTGTCAATGATCTCAAGGCAGCTGGGACCAGTCACCAAGAAAACAATTGGTAACACACTACGCCGTGAAGGACAGCAGCACACGCAAGGTCCCCCTGCTCAAGAAAGTACATATACATGCCCGTTTGAAGTTTGCCAATGAAGTTTGCCAATGAAGTTTGCCAATGAACATCTGAATGATTCAGAGGACAACTGGGTGAAAGTGTGGTCAGATGAGACCAAAATGGAGCTCTTTGGCATCAACTCAACTCGCCGTGTTTGGAGGAGGAGGAATGCTGCCTATGACCCCAAGAACACCATCCCCACCGTCAAACATGGAGGTGGAAGCTTTGGGGGTGTTTTTCTGCTAAGGGGACAGAACAACTTCACTGCATCAAAGGGACGATGGACGGGGCCATGTACCATCAAATCTTGGGTGAGAACCTCCTTCCCTCAGCCAGGGTATTGAAAATGGGTCGTGGATGGGTATTTCAGCATGACAATGACCCAAAACACACGGCCAAGGCAACAAAGGGTGGCTCAAGAAGAAGCACATTAAGGTCCTGGAGTGGCCTAGCCAGTCTCCAGACCTTAATCCCATAGAAAATCTGTGGAGGGAACTGAAGGTTCGAGTTGCCAAACGTCAGCCTCGAAACCTTAATGACTTGGAGAAGATCTGCAAAGAGGAGTGGGACAAAATCCCTCTTGAGATGTGTGCAAACCTGGTGGCCAACTACAAGAAACGTCTGACCTCTTTGATTGCCAACAAGGGTTTTGCCACCAAGTACTAAGTCATGTTTGCAGAGGGGTCGAATACTTATTTTCCTCATTAAAATGCAAATCAATTTAAAACATTTCTGACAAGCGTTTTTCTGGATTTTGTTGTTGTTATTCTGTCTCTCACTGTTCAAATAAACCTACCATTATAATTATAGACTGATCATTTCTTTGTCAGTGGGCAAACGTACAAAATCAGCAGGGGATCAAATACTTTTTTCCCTCACTGTAGATGGCGGCTCAAGAGTAGCAGAAGCCCTGTTTTTTGGGCTATGCCCATCTCAAGATAGACAATTAGCTGGCAAGCCAATCCATTAACGGAACCTCCATTCCACAAGGTGGACCCCACTTTAATTGGCAAAGTGACCCAAAAACGATACATATTTGGGCATTTATATTGGTAATCCGTGTGGCGAGTTCAGTGATTGGTTCGGGGGTTTTGTAGTTTCCATGAAAACACGTGACATGTCCTCGGACGGACTCATGAAGGACGGACAGACAGAACATTTCCTGGGCATAGGTGACCAAATTGGTTCCTTTAAACCAACCAGATTCTCACCGCTCACCCGCTACCGTTCCCATACTGCGCACCAGCAATCTTGTTTTAACGCATTACCGCTACTCGTAACTGATTATTCTCGCAAGCATACAGCCGGGGGACAAAAAAATACAACTGGCAGCTTTCCTTAACGTCTACTTTACTAACATTACCGCTGCTCCCAGCACCACTTCTCCCCCGACCCACGGTGGCCGTCGATCTACGAGTTAGTCAACAGGGAACATCCCCGCCCCGCCCCTCCCCGTTGCACACGGAACGCTGCCGCAGAGCCAGCGGTGCGTGCATGGCACTGCCGATCGCCACCGGTAACACAATCGCCCACAACCGCAGCATCTGGTGTGACCGCAACACGCGCCACCCACCCTTGGTGATAATAAATATTAGTCCTTCATGCACTTGGACCGTTTTCATATTTCTTTTTTTTTGTTTCATTCGCAAAGCAAATTTTTCTCGTTTTTCTCTCTCCTTCGCCGCAGTAAATACTTGTGCTGCGATCATAGCGGAAAGTCGTTTTAACACGTCGTGCTTTTAAAAATAAAGTGACGAGGGAGGTGGCAATGAATTAGGAACAAGGTCCTCATTTTTACCCGAGCACCAGGCCCCGTGGGATATGCCACTCACCGACGGGACCCAAAGGGTCAGTCGGTCAGTCTCGAAGAAGAAGCCAGTGACACAGCAGCATGCGAGAAGAGGCAGCCCCTAGTGTGCTCTGGCTCGCTCATGGCTAGCCAAGAGGGCTACATGCATGGACCAACTAAATCAAGTCCCCCCGCCCAAGATTTTAGGAGGCCGCCAATCGGCCTGGAAGTCTGGCCGTGCCATCCGCGAGTGACCAAGTGTTCTGACATGAGGCCGAGCGTGGATCTGGCCCCACGAGTGGAAGCTACGAGGAAAATTGCATCGAAGTCTCGGAGTGGAGGGTTGCAGTCTCCCAGGCTCAGTGTGCACCAGGTCAAGTTTTATTTTTACATCGCGCTAATCTGATAACGAGCCGAATCTAATTAAGTCTTCTATTTATTCTGGACGGGCTCGCTGAGAATTACCATTGTACATTGCGAGTCTGCTTTTTTATTAAGAATATCCGGCCCCCACAAAGGAAATGTTTTTTTAATTGTCGATAAGAGTTTCTGCAAGTAATCCGGCAATTGTGAAAAGCACGTCGTTAGTGCATGATGGCCGTACCCACGATTAGTCCCTGCATGAGTCAACTAGAAGCCACGGCTACCGATGCGTAAACTGAAAATGACCATTGCCAAAAAGATACAGTGTGCGGCAATGTCACGCCAAACCTCGCAATGAATTACAGCAAAGAAAAAAACTGAAAAAAAGAGGGCCCTCCGTATTGTGGCGACGCAACAACAAAACAGGGAAGGCCTTACGGCACTACCGCTTAGTGCAACGTGTTCCAGGCTGTGCAACAATCAATCTCGGGCAATCCGGCTCCTGGCTGTGAGTGAAGCAGTCGCCGAGTTTGCAGCGAGTATACTTTCACCCCCCGTCGCCAACGACCTACACATCTGCGCGTCTCCCGTCTCTCTCACTTGCGCTCTCTCTCTCTCTCAATTCCCTCCCGCCCCGTTCAATTCTATCTCGCGATCGCTTCCTTCTCCCGTCTTGTCGTGCGCATGGAAGCTGATGGACAAGCATGTAGGGTGGCTGCCACATTTACCCACCCGCCCGCTCGCCCGCCAGGCCACCCGCCCACCTGCCTGCCAGCTAGCCCCTACTTTCTCAATTCACGAGTTTGGCTGACAAGCGGGTTGGTGGTCAGGCCTGCCAGGCCACTCCTCCCCAGCTCTACTGTACACCATGTTTGGGGGAGGCGATGGGCGACTGGGTCCGGTGGTGGTCGGGCTCGTCGGCACCGGAGCTGGCCGTATCTCCGCCACCGCCACCTCCACCGGGCTTTCCGTTAGTGCCGTCCATCGGCGCGCCCTGGGGCTTGCTCTGGTTGTGGTTCGGTTCGTCGTCTTTATCCATGGAGCCGTAGCTCTGGGGCGACATCACCTCGCTCTCCTCCTCCACGGCCGACGGCGCAAACAGCACCGATGCCTTGTAGGTCTGGTTCGGGGTCAGGGTCGGGGTTATAGTGAGTTTGGGTAAGGATCGGAGTGAGGATGGACGGGGGGGGGCGGGTAGGATGATGAGAGTGATAGAGAGAGAGGCGAGGTGCAGAGGGAGAGGCAGTGGGCAGAAAGCATTGTGCAGAATACGTGCAGGAGAGAGGGGACAGGCCGTGGGAGAGGTGAGAGAGCAATACACCCCCCCCCGCCTCCGAGAGGGATGGACATGTGAAGGGCATGGACGGTAAGAGGGACGATGATAAAGGGGTGATGGGCGCCAAGAGTGGGGAGAGTGGAGGGGAGAGGCAGAGAGCATGGGAAGTGACAGAAATGCAGGCGCCGCAGACAGGGAAGATGAAGACGGATCGCCGGAAGCACTCTACGATTCTCCACACTTTTGAAGCGTTATTATTTAACATCGCTACGGCTTTCAAACGTGATTCTTCATCGCGAAAGGAGGGCGTTTTTTACGCCATCATCTTCACGAAGCTCATCTCCTCTGCTTGTCCCTGCCAGATGGGAAACGGAATCTCCTGCAATGACTCAGGATCGCCTACCAAGATAAGCAGCCTCCAACGCTTGCTTCAGCGAATAATAAATTAAGGGACTGCGTTGGCAGTGGTGTACAACTACGAATCGAGAAAAATCCCATCGCGTTCATCATTAGCGCTGTCCTTTATCAGAGCCAAAAAGGGTCTGGAGAAGAGCCATTGCCCAAAATATTAGCCTAGTGAAGATTCCTCTTTAATTCTACTTGGCTCCGCTATACAGCAGTGCTGATGACAACGTGTATCTACATCCAATCGTGCGTACGAGAATCTATTATTTTATATATATAAGTAATTGCCTCACGTGACCCCCTGTAGCCACGAGAGACACTGCGCTCACAATCTAAAAAGAAAATACCAAAAAATATCTATTTTTGTCCTGTGACCCCCCAAATTCATGACAATCCATCGGGTCACAATGGGGGTAGTCGAACATCAGCAGCCGAATGATGAGAGTCAACCGGTTTGATTGGAGAGGCACAACGACTGCGAGACGCCTCGCTGAGATATAGTGTTGGGGGAGGGGGGGGGCACATACCGGAGATTGTGGTGTAGTGGGGGTTCCTCCCTCGTCATCCAGAGGGGGGCTGCCCACCATGGAGTCCTGAAGGGAGAGAGAAAAGGAAAGCCCGCCAGGAGTAAAGCAAAAGACATCGTTTAAAATGTGTGTGTGTGTATATCATCCATCATGCGACAGCTATGTATGTGACAATTCACAGCCTGGACCACCCCTTCAAGCGAGATGTCCCATCCCAAGGGATTTTTCAGGTGAAAGATTTAAACAAAGTATATACATAACTAGAATAAAAAAGGAAAATGTTTTGGTATCCATCAAAGTAGTCACTGATGTCAAAGAGTACATTTGTTCACCGAGGCCAAATTCGAATTTCAAAAAATGCGTCCACTGCGCTTGGCAGTGATGGAGAAGCGCAGAGCGCGACGTAACACGGGGGGCCGCTCGACTGATACCGGACGAAACCGAGGTGATCAGTCGACCTCCCGCAATGATGCGGTTGTAGAGTCTCAAAAAAGTTTAATAACACTTTGTATAAATGTATGTCTGTCGAACTTCCTTCGCAACATACATAGCCAACCGGGCTAATCGGAGGTGTGGGAGAAAGACAACAAACTAAACACAAAAAGTGGTTCTAAAGAACTGAAGAAGAAGTTCATAGGCCTTTGTCAATCTACGACTGCCGGGTGAACGCCTCCCTACGTTATGCTGGTCGTGGGGGCTGTTTGACCAGGCTTCACCGTCACGGGGGGCAGTGCAGGGAGGTGAACGATGGGGGCGGGGGCTCGCGAGCGGTTCAGATCTTGCTCGCTACAGATGTTAGCCATGGCCAGGAGTCAAAACTCAGGTCGCCAGGTTCGCCAGGTTCACAGTGCCACTGCGCCACCGCTCCTCCCTGCCATTTCCTCTGTTGCATGGCACCGTTCATAATGTAGAACCAGCTTTCAATCGTTATTTACCATACACACACAGAGCGCTCTGGGTGATGCAGCATTCCACCACTGTGGCAACTCAACGGATAACTGCAATTGAGGGGTCAAGGCTCGATTCAAGAATTCCGTAAACATTGCCGCCAACGGTAGCACCTCTAGTGGCTGCAGAGCTCTTGTGACCCCATCACATACAGCATACAGTATATGGATTAACAAAACATGATTCTTACACGCACAATTAAATTAACATATCCTGCCATTTAAGAATCGATATTAACGAATGGGGTGGATCATTGGCGCAGTGGTTGATGCACTGCGCAATGATCCATCGACCCGAGTTCCATTCCCGCCCATAGCTAACAACGGTGTTCGGTAAGATATGAACCAGAACCCTCTTCCCCACTCCCTCCCGTCCCCCCCCCCTTCACCCACCCGTACTGACAAGCGTGGTGAAGTACGATCAAACAAACTACACGATCAACACAATTGTAGGGAGGCCTCCATTCAGAAGTGACAAGAGGGTTGTCGATTATTAATATTACTGTCATTGCTGTTGTTATTAAACGATGAATTGATGCAACGTTACACCGCTGCAGACCACCCATACGTAGCGACCCGCTCGCTGCCGGCGCGGCCAATGCTGGATTTGTTTTACTAACAGCTCAAGAGTCAACCAGGGTGACGGCAACATGAGAGGGAAAGAATGGCCGATCACAACAGATGGTGCGCGGACTTTGGCGGTGGGATACGACAGCGAGAGTCCCGTGAATGGTGCATCCTGGGAAACCGGGGATAGATTACTTCTGCAATTTATTTATATTCTTATAAATTTACACAAGGTAAATAGAAACCACACACACGAAACCCTGCAAACGATTCGGGGAACTTGTAAACTCAAATTAAAACGTCTATATTTACCTTGGATAGAGCTGTCGAGACGTCCAAACAATTTTTTTATGAACAGGCTAACCCGCCCTGGTCGTAGTTTTTTTTTAAAGATATTTTTATTACAACTTAATTTCTGCAGACAAACGCATACATCTGGCCAAGTTAGAAGTCGTGGCAGTGCAATAGCTCACAGTACCAACAATCAGTGGTGCATCATCAACCGAGATCGATTCTCAAAGCTCAGGATGCATGCATCAAATCGCGTATTCAACACCATATTTATTTGCCATTTAACACATCGTCATATGCATCGGGCTCGTTACTTACATCCAACCGAAATCCAAAAAATAAAGAGTGGAATCGCCACCTTGAATTGGGGCACCTCAGGGCGTGCGCTGCTAGCTGCACAACGCACGACTACTGCACTTTGATCGTTCCCTGAATTAATTGATCATTCCCTGAATAAAAAAAAATTACCAGGACGTTGCCAAAACTAAATTGTTGGGGGTCAGCGCAAGAGGACTTCCTTCGCTTTGTGGGGCACTGGCGTGAACACATTCAACAGCCGCAACAATGTAAACGTATCTTCTACGGTGGAAATCTATTTGTCCAATTTGATTTGGCGGGCACCAAGGGGCGGAAACCTGTCATACAAATTTATCTGCACAAATGACTCATCCTACCCGCTCCTGCGAAGCGCAGATGAACACGCCATGTATTTAGTTTGTTGTCCTTCCGCCGCACCTCCCATTAGCACAGTTGGCTACGCAGGGTGCGAAAGAATTTCACTTCACGTACCTGCACATACAAAAACGTCAGACCGTAGTAGGATTACTTTGGGACTTCCAGAGACCACGCGTGGTGACCCGTCTGAGTAAAAGGGCGCGAGTGAACAGGATGAATTCGGTGCCCCTACCGGGTCATTCACTGGGGTGACGCGATGAGCCATGGAGAGTATGTGCGGATCGATGGAGGAGAGGGCAGTCTCGCTGCGACGGCACTCGTTTTCACGTTACAAAACAGCAGAGGGCAACCGGTGAAACCAGTGAGCACTTATTGAGGCCAGCATGGGGCACGAGCGAGTGGTGTGGTCCCGCACTGTGGTCTAGAAAGGCCTTCATCAACCTATTGCTGACGTTTATATAGCATCTCCGATTGGCCACGTACGGTGTGAAAGAAGTTCAACATACATACGTGAGTCAATTGTCTAAGGCTAAGTCTAACCAAGGGGGGAGACCTGGGAATGGTTCAGATACCACATGCCACCGATGTCCTCCGTGGGCCGGGTTTCAAACCCGAGTTTTGCTCGGTTCGGAGGGCAGCGCGCAAACCGCCGCAGCGGCGGAGTATCGGCAGTGAGCAGCAATCGCCGAGAAGTCCGATGGGGGAGGAAAAAGGGGCAAATGTAGGAGAGGGTCACAAGCTGGACATATCGACAGCCTTGCGGCAGGGAAAGATGGAAGGGGAAGACGGGAAGAGGAAGGACACGGGTCAGTTTTGGTGGGACGATGTGAGCAGTTGAACCGGGGGACTCTCCAACGAGGGACGCTGCAGATCGCAGAAATGTGGAAAGCATCTGCCACGGGCATCAACCCTCAGTTGTTTTGAGGATGCCAAAAAATGAAATGTTATGAAAACGGGGGGGGGGGGGGGCTGGTGGAGGGGCTGTATTTTGCTACTTTATTATAGAAACACTTAATCGGAAATGAAACAAGAGGAAGAAAGAGTGGGGCCCTTGTCCCAGGGAAGGACCGCGGTGCGACCTTTCGTCCCAGAAACCTCGGGATGAAACATTCCACCCCCACCTCCCCACCCGCCCCCACCCCCCACCCGCCCCACCTTGTAGTTGTGCACGCTCAGGTACTTGAAGTATCCGAAGAACATGCGGAAGAGGCACACGACGATAGTGAAGAGCAGCACGACGAACGTGAAGACGGTGATCTCGTTCCTCGGGCCTGGGCGGGGGGGCGGGAGGAGGACGAGGAGGATTTCCAACAGCCAGCCGCCGCCGCCACCGCCGCACCGCGTGGAAACGATAACGACGATGGCCAGATTTGTTCATGGGAAAGCGGAGCGTTGTGTGCTTATTTCCCAGGGCTCGATGCGCTGGGTAGTATTTTCTTACCCCCAGAGAATACAGGCAGCACGCAGGGGGTGCCAGAGAGATCGTGGTGGGGTGGTGGAAGGGGTCGGGGGGGGGGAGAAGTGGGGGGAGCAGAGTGGATCCCTCTGTGTTCCCACATGCATCCCCCTCTCTCCCCACCATACACAAAAATACAATGACAAAGGTCCCCCGTAAAGCCTTAACGGACTTTTGGGGCAAGTGCTGTTAGCGAGTACTTATGAAGGCCGGCACGGCACAGGAGAAGGTGGGTGGCAAGCAACAAACCCCACTGCCTTTGTCTCCCAAGTGGCAATGTTCACACACCGAAGCAGGTACTCATTTGAGGCTCAAGTCGAGAAATAGGGGAGGCCCAAGGCAGGTTCAAATAATCATCACCGATGGTAGCCGTGGGCAGAAATCAGGACTTGGGTCACCAGGTTCGTTTCTCAGTACGCTAACCACTGTGCCACCGGTCCCCACACATTCACATGTGCACGCGCACACACACAAAGAAAATCCCTCTTCTTATTAGTGACGAGTGCCCTCGTATCACCCTTGACCACAGGGCTCCTCCTACCCCCACTGGGAGGCTACAGGGGCTAAAGAGGAAGGGTTTTAGAATCTAGGCGAGGCATGTTTTGGGAACCAAGTAATGTGAAAGTGCTTAGAAAGGTCTCGTTGTTGAATCGGTGAATGAATAAATGAAAATCTTCAACTGTAACAACCAAGTGCCCACCGATTGAAGCACCAGTGCGTATTTGTATTATTATTTTTTTACTTCCGAAAGTGACACCTGTAGAGATTCAGCGCACATGCTCACCGTGCAGGGGAGCGGTGACGAGGTGGCTCGCTAAAGCGATGAGAATCGAAGCGTCGTTTCACCACCCCCAGATATCACGTCGTCCTCACATCGCCAACCGTCGGTACAGACGCGGCGTGTGCGATGACGCGCGACAGGCGGTTTTTCCCCCCCGGGCGGTCTCTCACCGAGGCGCACGACGGAGTAGAAGAGCAGCCAGAAGATGCAGAGGATGGGCGCGGCGACCACCTGGTTGATGGCCGAGCAGTGGATCTTGCGGTTGAGCTTGGAGGGGATGTACGCGTAGTAGAGGTTGTAGCGGTCCACCATGTGCTTGAGGAGCACGTAGATCACGCCTGGAGCGGGAAGGGAACAAATGATTTCGCGGAAGAGTAAAGGGTCTCGTCCAACTGGGATGAGACTATCCACTTGGTGCATTTGAGAACACAGTTGAACCACTTTGGCGGTACGGCTTGGTGTTAAATCCCCCCGAGCCGCCCGGGCCACCCCAGCTACAAGGCGTCATTATCATCAACAGCCGCGGAGCGGAGGGAACAAATTATTTTACAGAGGCGTAAAAGTCTCGTCAAAATCTTAATTATCTGTGCGCGGATTTGAATTGCCACGGTTAGCCGAGCAGCACGGGCTCAATGACGGTAGCTGAGTGCAGGCCCAAAGAATTCCAAGTGGCCGGCAACAAACAGCACAGTTGATGGTGTTATAGATAAGAGTTAATACGTTTGTTGAATCCAGCGCGATTACATGAACTTTGGGAAGACAGATGATGAGAAGGGAATTCACCATCGTAAGACATGGATGGATGGGCGACGACGTGGGGAGGGGACTTCATCTATCAGCGGATTGGCCATGAACGTTTAATGCTGAGGTGGCTCAGGCGGTTGACACCAAACCGGGTTTCAATCCCCCGTGATTAAACCGGGTTCTCAAATGCACCAAGTGGAAGAGTCTAATCCAAGTGACCCAATGACGGCACGCAAAAATATAAACGACCACGTTCAATTTAGGCTTTCAATACATAATAGCAAAACTCCAGCTTTGAAATGAAAACTATCGGTATAAAAGCCACGCAGCAAACATTTCACGGTGTTCGGGTTTGTGTGGGACAGTACAGCGCACAAGTAGTTCCATGACATCTCCTGCATTGGGACGTTCTCCAACACGACCGGGGTACAGCGCGGCTTCGTCTTATGATGTGACAGGGGGGGGGGGGAATGATGTGGCAAAGATGCAGCAAGAAGAGAGGCCATGGGGGAATCGCGCCTTTGCTTCTGTGGCATCTGCCAAAAGTTCGTTGGGATCTTCGAGTCCCGCCCAAAGACATTTCTCTCTTTCAGAAGGCATTTTATATATCAACTCGGAGCCACTTCTTACCCAACCCCACACACCCCCATTGTAATTCATGTAAGGCGCCTTGAGATTTCATTAAAGGCGCTATACAAGCTATTATTATTATTAAAACGAACTGACCCTGGAAGTAGTTATGCGACCTCATATTTCAGACGCCGTCCCCTTGACCTTAACAATACTCCCTACGAGAGATCCCGATGGAAGCAACATCGTCCATTACTTGCATGGGCTCAGCCGCTCAGATGAATCTTTCTCCATGTCCTTCTATTCTGCGCCTCATCTCAAAAGTCTCACATCCACTGGCCTCGTATTTCCTTCCGCCACATCCTTTACTCCTGACCCCCTTAGGTCTCCGTTACTCCTCCTGCCATGCGCTGGTGGCATGTCCACAGTCCCTTTGTCATGTGGTCAAAATGTGCTCAAATTTTGAAAAACTACCCGCAGATTACTCAGCTGAGATTACAGATCAAGTTGAAGTTTAAAGCTTGATATATATACACATATATCCACAAGAAGTTTTTGTTAAGGGTGAGCTCGCATAAATATGTGTTGTTAAACCCGCCACCACCCGACACAGCCAATTAGTAAGGTTTGTCACGTAAAGAAAACATGCCAATTCATTACTAGTTCAACACAGCAAATTTAACATTCGAGTATGACGTTTCGCCGGTAATTACAACCAGCATCATCAGGCGGCAGCCAGAGTTGTGCAGAAATCCTCCTGTTTAGGTCTTGTGTATATATACATATAAATACACATAGCCCCTGCTGTGGAAACTTGGCAAGACCCTCCTGCAAATGAGTCACAAGACTGAAGTGAGGCTTTCCTGGCTAAACAAGCAGACTAGTCATAATAACGATGACATGATTGCTGAATTATGCTAATATCTCACGGCCCTTGGCAACTTTCCAGCTTAGGGCTTTCCAAAAAAATCCATTATTGTGTAAACAAAACGAGCGAACTCGCACACTCCGTCCGCCCGCCCGCCCGCCCGCCCGCCCGACCGACTTCCACGAGCGGAGAACCCCTCAACGCATTCAATAACAAAGCCGGCATGGGACGAGGGCCGTGCAGAGTTTCCCAAGCATCGCGCGCGCACGCGCGGTAAGCGATACCATCGCACGCAGCTGGGTCAAGTCCACAGGACAATCCCCTGCTCCGAGCGAAGAATCGGTCCCGGAATTCGGTAACGCAAATATTGCCCCGCAATAAGTCTCGGCGAACGGGGTTCAGGGAGGATGGCGGAGCGGGACGAGGGTGGGGTGGGAGGGGGGGTTTGGAGGCAGGGGGGGGGGGAAGGAGCTGGGTAAAGAAGATGGGTCAGGAGGGTGCAGCGGACTAAAACACAAAAAGACCTTCACAGTTGTCATTGTCGTCGTGAACGCTGCTCCATAACAAGAGATTCATTTCTCACCGAAATATTTTTTCCGGGTCTGGAGTAGCCTGGAGTAGGCACATGTCTAGTAGCCAAAGTAATAGTGAGCAGTATACTCGATGTGGTGTGCAGTGTGTCTACATTTTTTTTTCCCGTTCACCGACCCAGCTGAAATTAAGGGCGGCAGGTAAGTTTGTTTTTGGGCGGTGTGAATTTATCTTTCGAGCAGAACAGGAAATTTATGGCGGTCTGCATACTCATAATAACTCCAATTAATTATCAGGAAGCCTCACCGAGTCTCAAGACTCTCTTTCAGGAGAGTTCTGCATTGGGATGTTTGGTCAATGAAGGATTTTGTTGCATTTATTCATCACTTAAATTCCAAGGCATCTCTAAGCGCCAATAAAAATTTGGCTTGTGGGAGGAAACCAGAGCACCCAGAGAAAACCAACTCCCATATATGAAGGGATAACACTCAAAACAAATTAAATTCACTGAAAACAAGTATCTGTAGAATCTGTAGGCTGAACCCATGGCTGAGTGTCCATCTCCTGGTAAACTCAGTCCCACGTTCTACAACACCTGGCAAGCAATGGGTGGTTACCCAAACGATTCAGGTTATACAACAGCAAATGAAGTAATGTTATACAACTCTCCACGACCCGACACGGCATTCGAGAGGCCTTCATCCAAGAGTATAAATGACATGGGGTTATTGATTGCTATTATTAATAGCAATATTAATGACAATGGAGGCAAGACATCCTGGGGATAGCTCTCCGACACCCAAGCTAACACGAGGTGCCCTTTAGTTTCGTGTTGGAAGGGAAGACTCTACAATTTCTCCGAGTTCAGCGAGCAGAGATTTACTAGCGAAAATGGAGATACGAGACAAATGACTGCTCGCGCACGCTGCCAAAGCCGTTCCTTTTTGAAAGTGGAACAGGGGGCGGGATGGGGGGGGGGGTCACAAACTCTCGCCGTTCTTTTTTTAACGCGTCAACGTCGACTCGCAAAATAAAAACCCCCAGCGTAGAGATTCCGCCCCCCCTCCCCCCCCCCCCCAACTCCCCCCGGCCACGCTGCCGGGCTGCCGGGTCCCCGCAACGCACGCGCGCTCGATAACAGGGCACGCCGGCCCGGCCGGCCGTGGCCAGAAACGGCCACTCGGGAGGGACGGCGAGCCGCCAACACGTGGCACGACCCGCATCCATAGCAATCCGGCGTGTATTGGGCTTGTGGTGGGGGAGGGGGGGGGGGGAGTGGTGGGGGTGGGGGGTTCGCCTTTGATGGCCTTTCCTGGAGGAGCGAACGCAGGCGAGGCGGAGGAGCGAGCGTGAAAATTGACATTAACGCGGAGGCGGCGGCGAAGGCGACGTCTGGACGCGCTGAGAAGCGTTCCCGCTGGTGGTAACGTCCCAACGATTCGAGACGGCCGCTCCAAAACGATCCCAGAGCGTTTCTAAATTTGACCGCGAAGTTTCCTTGCAGGTTTGAGGCGAAGCTCATTGTGCGTTTGGCCTCCTCCTCCCTCCTCCTGCTGCTGCTGCTGCCGCTGCTGTTCACCTCCCCCACACCCGACCAGCAACTCACTTGTCTTCTGTTTGCACACCAGCAGTGTTTTTCATTACGGTAAACATTTATTGTTGCCTGGTGGGGTGGGTCATCGTCGTCGCAGCGCGAGCCAAAGCGCCGTGTCCGTATAAACACGAACGCGCACGGTTGAGCGCCAGTGCCAAAAATTTGGGCGTGCAAGCCTTCGTGTGTGTGCGTGCATGCGCACGTGTTTGTGCGAGCGGGTGTGTGCGCGCGATCTCGCATGTGCGCATGCGATGCATGTCGAATAATCGTCTCAGTCAGCCAACCCATGACACCTGGGTCTGTCCCGAGACCTCCTGTCAGCGAGCCTTCGACACTTCACGTGGCCTCGAAGTGCATCTGGCCTGGCACGGCGCCGTGGTGACGTCACCATCAACTTAGTGGCGAATGGTGGGTATTAGTGGTGTGTCTGTGGGCAGCGGGCGTGTGGCAGTTAGCGCACTGCGCTATGAACCCGGCGAATCGAGTTCGATTACCACGCATGACTAATATCGGTGGCAAATATTTGAACCGGTCCTGGGCCTCCTGTAGGTCGATTCAGCCTTAAATGAAGACCTGGTGCAGTGTGTAAATATTGCCACTGGGGAAACAAAGCTGGTCGCGCGTGGTAATGGCCACCCACCCCCTTGTGTACCGTGCCGGCCTTCATAGGTGCTGCTCATTAACAAGGCTTGTGCCCCAACAGCCTGTGTAGGCTATACGGGGGGATCTATGTCGATGTCTTTTGCACACTCACCGAACACGACAATGATGGGGCACGTGATGCTGTAGGCCATGACGACGGTGAATACGGTCATCATCCACGCATACGCCTGCCCAAACTGGAATTCGTACGCTTGCTCCTGTCGGTTGGACAACAAATAGTCAGTTCAGTTCTTTTAAGCGAGTCAAATCGGACTCGCTCACAGTGAATTGCATTGATAGAATGGTTCCAGTGAAGGAGATTTTACAGAACTACTTCTGAGAACCCTTTAAATTATTTTGTCCACAAAAAGGGGGCAGCACTTTCCCGCCTGCTTTGCTACGAAAAAATCTTTGTCGCTTTAACAATTAAGATTGTAATTCAGTGAAATGAAGTGCAAAACATTTTAGGGAAATGTTTTTTTTCGTGTGTGTGTGTGCCTGGTTCAGCCAATCAACTCATGACACTTGACAGCTCAGTGCCCTGACCTCAGAGTCAGGTTGTGCTACCTTTGGGTTGCGTGTCGACTCCCCGGACAAGGGCAAGGAATCAACAGCATGGATTTTTGGGGTGGGGGCAGTTCCAGACTTCGGGGGCAGCGGAGGAGATTGAGTGACCTCCCACTGAGCAAAGCTTGACTTGACAGAAAGCCTTGTTTGCTCGTGCGGAGAGTGCATGAAGGAGCGTAGAATGAGAGAGGAAAGGCAGGAGAGGAGCATGAAAGAGCGGAGAGATGCGGGGGAAGAGATAGGCAGGGACGAGTCCACGAAGGATGTTGAAGATGGCGAGTGAGATCCTAAACTTGATCGACGACTGGACTGGGAGCCATGGGGCAAACTGGCGTACTGGGGTTGACACGGTCTAATCTATTAAAGGCGTGGTTGGAATTGCCCAAACATTTGACATTTTGGATCATACGGAGTTGGAGATGATGGATTTGGGGAGACCACTACATGCTTGAGCAGATCCAAAACGAGATCCTTTTCAGCCAAGAACAGTGTGAGCACTCTACTCCACAAATCTGCCGAACATTTTGGAAACACTCTGGTGAAAGTTATCGATGCTCTCAAAATATAACAGATGCGAATCAGTATCGACTGAATGACTAAGTGCGCCCATTATTGTCAGATCAGGGTAGTTACTTCAATGGGAGACCACCAGAACTTCCCAGGTGCTACAGGGGTGGCACTAGCAAGGTGGGCAGCAGATGGCAGTGCTTGCTGGGTTTTCTCTGGGATTGGCCGCTTTCCTTCGGGATTGTCCGCTTTCCTCCCACACGAAGCCAAACACCCGTGAATACAAATTGCCAAACATTCTATTGTAGCAGGACAATCCTGAACAACTCTCTTTCAAATCAATACAGCTATCTTGGGTAAACTATTGCCATTAACTGGCACCTGTGGTTGAGTATCAGCGTAGGGGCCCATGGGGCACGGCAGTGGACGCATTAATCGAAAAGGCATTGAATACATTCATCATTCAGCTTCCCATGAGGCTGTGGTTTGGTTATACGCTGGAAGAACATTGCCTGCACCACAACTGTACACCACCGTATGGGGAATAGCAGCCAGATATGGTTGCGATGGGGGGGAATCTGGGTCAGATTCACCGATGGGCCTCATCGCTATTTTTTCCGAGCATTTCGCCACTGCGGGCGCCATCGGCAGATTCCCGCGAGGTCACGCTGCCACCACCGTCGCCACCACCGTCGCTACCACCGCCACCGCCGCCACTCTCGCGCGCCCTGGGATCACTGCCACCTGCTTGACGTTCTTGCGCTCGGCCATGGATCTGGCGCTGCACAGGCGCAGGGCGTAGAGCATGAGGCCCGGCACGCGCAGCAACTCCATGGCCGTGCCAATGAAGCCGGCGGTGATCACGAAGTTCACGAAGAATGCGCCGTTGTCTGGCAGGAACACGCACCTGGCGGGGAAGGGGTGAGAAGGGGAGAGGGGAGGAGAAGCGGGGGGGTGCAGGACAACACATGGCGTCACCGCATGCCATGGGGTCACCCGCGCCATGCCGAGGGCGGCCAGGAGATGGCATTTCCGCAAGGGGGCTCGTGAGCCCATCCGTGGGGGCCCTTTGAGCACTGGCCGTCCTGGTTGCCTCTCACGTGAAGCCAAACGCTCTTTAATGGAATTGGCCAAACATCCCAAAGCAGGAAGCCCCTGAAAATTTTGCCTAGAGACTCATCAAGGCTTTCTTGGAAGAATAAAGGACATTACATTATTATTTTCTAGTCTCCACCATTTTGCTGATCCATAATCTCTCGGATCAATTTGTTCCACGTGTGAAACACTCCTTAAAAAGGAACTGGTCGAACATTCCAATGCAGGACCCTCTCTAAAAAAAATCCTAAGGCTTTTCTGGATAAAGGAATTATAATATCATTATTATTATGAGAAAAAAATATATTCATTGCCATGATGCACATTGCCCCGAGGTCAACTCAGCCTAAAATGGGTGCCAAGTGCAGTGTTTTATATTTTTTTATTATTTTATTGTTTCCCTTCTACGTGACTTTACCGAAAGAACCAAGAATATGAATCCCTGCAGTCACGAAAGCTTTAAATCAAAATGCAGTGTAGTTATGAAAACAAAAAACTGACACGAGACAAAGGTGGACATTGTGTGCGTCTGCTGGGCCGCGTCACCAGCCTGCAATGGCGCCACGTCGGCCTCAATGTGCATTCGCCAATGGCACTTGGAACGTGTCCAAGGAGACGGAGCGATGAAATAATGTCGAGTGCCGGTGCTAGATGTGGGGAGCGGTAGTGTAGCGGTTAGGGCACTGCGCTACGAACCCGGCGACCAACATCAGTGGCAATTATCTGAATCAGTCCTGGGCCAACCCCAGGTCGACTCAGCCTCAAATGAGTACCTGGTGCAGTGTGCAAAAAACGTTGTTACTGCGGAGACAAAGGCGGTCGGGTGTGGTGCTGGCCACCCACCCCCTCGTGTGCCATTCCGGCGTTCATAGGTCCTTACTAACAGCACTCGCCACAACAGTCTGTTTGGCTACACGTGGGATCTTTGTCTTTTTTATTACATCGCAGGATCGTGAGAGGTGGTGACCATTTCTGCCATCATCCAGCGGTGGATTGGTCATGGCTGTAGCTGCTGCTGCTGCTGCTGATGAAAAGCACTTGCTCCAACAGCCTGCGAGAGACGAAACGGCCGACGTGTGAACCCTGTCATATGTAAGCGTGGTTTACGAGGCTCGAGAGACGCACGTGATGCACAGGCCTGCGTTCAATTCCCATCGGTCCTTCGCAGGCTCAGGCAAGACATTACAAATTAATGTGGAGGGGGAAAAAAAAATGTTTTACTTAATTCTTGGCAGTGATGACGACGGTCGGCTGATTAACGGCCATCGGCTCAAAGGATCCCCCCCCCACCCGTGCTGGCGTCTGTCTCATAGAAACCGCGGTGGGGACCATGCCTAGGAACTCACTCAAAGCGGATGGATCCATCCTTCAGGAAGTTCTTGTCAAACAGCCACCGGAAGAACACGTTCAGGCTGGAAGAAGCAGTAGGGGGGTGGGGGTCAGGGGGAGTAGCAGTTAGGGGACTGCGCTATGAACATCGTGAGCAAGCCCCGTTCGCTTCCCTCTCGCAGCCAACATCAGTGGCGAACTACTGGACTTGTGGACCAGTCCTGGCCTCCGAATTGTCCACTTTAATCTTAAATGGGTACCGAGTAAGGTATGTCAGCGTCGGCATTGCCGAGACAAAGGCACAACCACCCCATCGTGCGCCGTCCCGGCTTTCATAGGTGCTCGCTAATGGCACTTTCCCCAAAAGTCTGTTAAAGGTTATACGGGGGATCTTTGTCTTTGTGTGTGCATGTGTGCTTGCTCGTGTATGTGTGTGCGTGTCAGCCATCGCTCGATGAAACCGAGCCACGGCTTTTTCCCCACAATAATTTATGCTGCACAAAATAATAAATTCTCAAGATAATAAAATCGTTGCCACGTAAAGAGACGAGGGTCTCAATTGCCATGCAAAAAATTAAATAACATTTCAACTCATCGGCATAGCGGAGTCTTCTGCAGCAAAGATATCCAGCAGCATTCATTTTTAAAGCAGCAAACCCTGCGACTGGTCTCGGACTTTTACGAGTGAATCAATTCATCGTTACACTCCCAACGATTTACATCCGCAGCTGTGCAATGGCGTGTCTGCCAATTAAGGAGCATCTGCAGTCTGGAGGCGAGGAATTTGCGGAGATGGCAGTGAGGGTCAGAATGGGGGTGCTGGTGGTGAAGAACCCACAGCCGCCCCCCCCCTCCCCCCCCCCCCCAGGCCGGCTGCAGCCCGCGACATTATTTCACACGACCCGCGGCCACACGAGGCCTGCCACGTGGAATCGGCCCATACTAATCTATGCGTGTACGCACGTTTGAACTTCTTTCGCACCGCGCGTAGCCCCAACCGTGCTAATTGGAGGTGCGGGGGAAGGCCAACAAAACTAAACACAAAGAGGGGAGCACTATTGCCCTGACAACACTACGTTTCTAATTTCAGCGCGTGCTGTCGATGCTGCCGTTGCAAGAGCCTCTTGCGGTGACTGAAGTGACTGCGGCTGTTTTGTGCTAAATACCTTTGACCTGCTACGGGGGTATTTGAAAGTCATATTCGTCTCCAGTAAGAGAACATGGGTCCTCCACCTATACTTTATCGGATTGTAAAGCAGGCACGCACCAATTCACCAATTCGTCAATTAAAATCAATTCTCATATTCACGATCCAACCATTAGATCGTGCGTGCAAGACTCTAGCATCACGATTTACGCAACTAAAATGTAAATTAACAAATCTGAGTGATGAAAGCGAGAAGAGGAATGTCAGCCGAGGAGCAGTAGTCACGGATGCAGCCGACAAGCACGGGACATCGTGACACACACGTGGCAGTGATTCGCAGGGAGCGGCTGTGAAACGGCGAGCCCCAATCCGCCGTAGTGTGGAAGTGGAGGGACTACACGTAGATGGTTTCCAGAGGCAGACTTTGCAGCGGTGAGCACTGCAATGACCATGCAGTGCTGACGAGTCCTATTTCGGCGGAAACTGGTCCACAGTTGTCTCTGCATCACTGCTGCCCCTCAGTCAGTCAGACATTTGCTCAAATTGTATTTTGATGGCGACCTAAGACGAGGACCACAATGCAGTTCTCTGCAGGAACTGCGGATGTTTTTTTTTTATGTTTCTGAGGATGAGTGTGCTTTTTGTACACATTTTAGTTTCTTGTCGTTTCAAACTCGTGGTATTCCAGGCCTTCACTATAACTCAGTTCCGATGGGGGGGGTTTTCTCATAATTGACAAATTTGATCAAATTTGCCAAAATTCGACCATTTACCCGCAAACCACTCAACTGGGATGACACACGGCAACATTGTTTCGCTGCTGTGAAAACCACCGCCACAGGCCGAGCCTGTGTTAACGCAGCAGCGACCTTGCCATTAATATCCTCGCACTACATATAATCGTGGTGGCGATGACCACACGTACACCAACTCGTTGATTATTAATTACAGGGTGCGAAGCACGCGCAGCGCGGTCACCTCGTGAGCCCGAGTGACGGCAGGATGAGCACCATGAAGATGAGGAAGAAGTAGCACTTGTGCATGGTGGCGCGGTTTTCGCTCGACCTGCTCGCGGACGCGCGCACGCATGCACGCACGCACACGATCGCCCATTATTACGGTGCAATAAACCAACAGTTAGGAAATGACCCGATTTTGCCTCGTGCCCTTTATGTATCACATCCATCCGTCATCATTGGGTGAACCTGTCAAGTGCAATTAGTAAACCAAACCAAGGGGAAATTACCAGGAAAAAGATGGGGAGGAGAGGGGGGGGGTTATTTTATTTATTTTAACCAACAGCTAATGATGGTGATGGCAAACGAGACAATGGGAATTATTGTTGCAATTTCTTTTCCTTCATTTGTAACGACGATGGAAATCTCCTGCCAGCTCCGGTTTTGATCTAAATTGCACGCGGGGATTGGGACGGTCACCGGTGACCCCTCACCGACCTTGACGCTGTGGCAATTAGCCACGGAACAGCATTTACGTATTTACAGGGGAGGGGGGGGGTAGGGGACAAGCGGCGATAACGCCGTGCAGGAATTCTAAAATAAACAAAGCCATGAAAAGAACCGCGCACACAACAACAACAATGGCGACGACCGGTATTCACCGATAAGTGGCTGCGACGCCAGCGAAGCAATTGTGCCAGGCGAGGTGCACTTTTGGGGCCACGTCAAATTAAACAAGCGCCCTGGCAGAAGGTAGCTTGTTGGATGCAGGTGTTACGGGTGAACAGGCATGGAGGGGTTGACTGGCAGATGGTTCACACACAAAGATCAATTGGTAAGGCCATAAATCATATTAGTGTCCACAAAGATGACCTTTATTAATTACTCAAGATAATTATAAAAGCATCAAGGTTATACGGCACTTTCACACTTAAATACAAGCAATAGCGGTAAAGTGTGACTATTAATTAAGATTTTTTTTTTTAAATTGATCCAAATTACTTTTAAACTACAAATTGGTAAAAAAAATCCCAGTAATAACATTTAAAAAAAAACTCTTCAATTGTGATTTTAGTACCGTGATTGAAAATGAATGTCATTTATTTTGTGGGGGGGAGGGTAGGGGGGCGTGGGTGCGGCGTGGGGGAGGCAGTGGTGGGGGGAGGGCAGGTAAGTTCCATAGATTGAACGCTCCAGTCACTGGCAACCACCGCTAGCCACGGCTCACAACCGCGAACGGTCAGCGCTGGGCCACCGGCAGCAGCAACAGCAGCAGCAGAACGCTCGACGCGGTCACGTCACCTGGTCCAGTGGGCCTCCAGAAACACCGAGTAGTAGACCAGCAGCGGCAGCAGGGAGGAGAAGGTCCACAGCAGCAGCGTGGGCAGGAACTGGGTGATGATGGGGCTCTGCGGGCGACACGGCAGCGGCGACGGACGGACGGACGGACGGACGGGGTCACATGGCGGTCACGAGCCGGTGCAGAACACCCACGGTGGAATGAGACGACGGGAGGATGGCATCCCAAACGAGTTTTGGAAAACCGTGCCAGCACGCACGGATTACGTGACGCTTCCCAGCACACGTTTTGTCTTTGGAAGTATTTAATTAGCAGTGCGGGAGCTGAAGGGCCGCTGTCAGGGAGACACGTGTCTTGCGAATGGTAATTTTCGTCTGGTTTGTGTCTCCAGATTTTGGGAAACTATTTTCATCGATGTGGCTAGTTTTGGTAAGTCTGGCCACACGTTGGGTAACTACCTAATAGCAACACAACTTTATACGTAAGTTTGATTAATATTGGATCATCTTCGTGAGAGTTATAGATGGAAACTTACAACCTTAGTTGGAAAGCATTAAAAACAAAATACGTCTTAAATCATTATAACTCGAAAAGTCCTCCAGATAAAACACTCTGACGTTATCCAGATTTTTCTTCATTCTCACAAACAAATTCCCAACTCTCAAACAAACAAAAATATCAGGGAATGGCAGACAAGAGTTTTATAAACTTATAAAATCCTGCGGGATTATCACTGAGAATCTCTTGAGTAACTTTTGTTACCTCGGTCAAAATTCAGAGGTCATCCATCGCTCATCATCAACACCACAGGTCCCTGTGTTGCTTCCAAGTCAGACTGAGCACCAACTCAGCAGTTAACGACGAAAATTACTCCAGCGAGAGCCGCGACTGTGCGTTTTCCTGCGCGAGACTGGTGAACGCGAGTCTGGTGAACACGAGACTGGTGAACGCGAGTCTGGTGAACGCGAGACTGGTGAACGCGAGACTGGTGAACGCGAGTCTGGTGAACGCGAGTCTGGTGAACGCGAGTCTGGTGAACACGAGTCTGGTGAACGCGAGTCTGGTGAACGCGAGTCTGGTGAACGCGAGTCTGGTGAACACGAGACTGGTGAACACGAGACTGGTGAACGCGAGTCTGGTGAACGCGAGACTGGTGAACGCGAGACTGGTGAACGCGAGTCTGGTGAACGCGAGTCTGGTGAACACGAGTCTGGTGAACGCGAGTCTGGTGAACGCGAGTCTGGTGAACGCGAGTCTGGTGAACACGAGACCGGTGAACGCGAGAAGGCGGCGGGGTGCACACGCACGCACGCACTGGGGCCGGGTGCGGGCGACCGATCACGCGGCGGACTGCCCGACTTACGTTGAGGCTCTCGACCGGCTTGGTGACGTTAAACTTGTCGATGGTGTTGACGACGATGGACGGCGTGGAGAAGAAGAAGAGCAGGATGAAGAGGAAGGTGTTGAGGACGATCACCTTCACCCACCAGGAGAAGCCTTGCACCGTGAGGTTCTCCCTGCGCCAGCGAGGGACACGCGTGGCGCCATCCTCGTCACGACACTCCATTTCGCAGCAACAACCTCGCTTTTTTTTTTGCTCCCTTTTTTCTCAATGACATTTAGAATCAATGACATTTGTCATCGACAATCGCCCTCGAGCTGTCACGAGATGGAAAACACTTCCACCCGGAACTCTCGCAGCAGCCAGCGGAGCATCACGCGCTGTCCGAAGGCTTTGCAGGGTTGCGAGTAGGCGTTGAGTAGGCCATGTGACCAGCTTTAACCACAGAGGTATACTGTATGCGGTGTGCCGGTTGTCGACCCGGGCTGAAATCGAGCCCTGGGCTTTAACCGACGCGGTGGTGCGCGGTGCCACCGAGCCGTACCCCGGGGCCCGCGTCGACCCCGTGGAGGGTCTCACCAGATGATGCTGTTGGGGTCCGGCGCGTACTTGACGCCCCAGTGCTTTGAGCGCAGCATGTCACCGAAGCTCGAGGTCTTGGGGCTCCCCAGGCAGCGCAGCTTCTTGTAGTCGCGCATCACCCTGCCGGGGGGGGGGGGGGGGGGAGACGCAGCGTCGGTCACAGCGCAGTGAGGGGCTCAGTGATGACGCCGTCGTGATCCCCGAGTACCCACTACCTAAAACTTTAAACTATTTTCTATTTTACCAGGTAAGGCTCACTAAGCTGCGTAGCTCTTTTGCAGAAGCGACGTGGCCACAAGTGACAGCTCAACGAAGCGGCTTGTCGCTTGGAAATTTACAGCAGCCAAATACTCTAAACGGATGTTGATTCTAAATGTGGAGGGAAAAAACCCGCAGAAAAATCCATACGACCACGGGGACAACATGGCAACTTCAAATATACAGGTGTCAGGGTCGGGAATGAACCCACGGCCCCCTGTATACAAAGCGAGGTAGTTAACATCTCCCCACTGTGGCACCCTGTATTTCTCATTGCATCGCAAGCTTTCTTCAAATATGAAGAAGCCACTGGACCTATGCACTTTTAAATCCTCTAGATTGACAAACTAATTTCTTTCAAACTGCTTTTTGTGTTTAGTTTGTTGTCTTTCCCCCGTACTTCCGATTAGCACGGTTGGGGCTACATACGGTGCTCGAAAAAAGTTCAATGTACATACATACACACACTCATTCCTCAATCCTTGTAGACCCCCTGCTATCTACATTAGTCTCTGCTCTGTCACCATTTTGTGAGATATGTCAAGCACCTTGAGTGAAGGCACTTTATAAATTATATTAGATATCGATAAATACAGATTCTCAATAATTTATTATTTTGGGGGGAGTGGGGGAGTTAAGGCCTCATATTGTGTAAGTATCATGTCAATATTTACCTAAAACCCTCCGCCATCCAAACAAATAGAGTTGTTAGTTCAAAGTGAAAAAATGAAAATTGATTTGGCTTTTCAGCAGTTCAATTACGTTGCAAAACGAACAAAATACTTTTTTACAATTTTGTGTGACCCTTCGCTGAAGATGACAGCCAGCATCATCAGGTGTTAACAGAGCCCAGCGCCCAAGCTCAGGGCACTGTGCATCAAAAACAGCACGTGTAAGAATCGCCGTGTTTTTACGTATTTATTTGTCAACGATGTATGTAGCTGGGTTCAAGTGACAACGGCCACTAGAGGCTGCTTCACTCGACCCACAACGTAAAAAAAAAAGTCGCTTCGAGGCACCGACTCCAACGAGTCGTGATAAAATTCAAGTCGGTCACAGGAGGGCTTGTTTAACCATACTTCACCACGCCGATCATCGCGGGCTGATAAAGCAGGGAGACCCAATACCTATTAACCCCCCAACCCCACCCTTTACATAACAGTTTCATGTAATATTGTACGTCAAGTAAACGTGGCCAAGGCTCGATACACTCATGTTAAACAAAATACACACGTGGCACGGTTGTTTCATTTCAACGCGGTTGTGTGTAAACATCGCGTTTACTTAATCTCAATAAAAACACCGCGATGCCGCGGAGCGAAGCGCGGCGAGGCAGCGAAGGTGTAGGATGACGGTAAAAAAAAAAATTATTCCACGAGGAACGTTTGCGCAAAAAGATGGTTCTCAGCCGAGCGCCAAAGCGCTAAAAAAATTAAGCATCGCTGAATGCTCGAACTGAAGAGGAAATCCTCTCTTGGCTCACGGGGGCCCCCCGCTTAAAATGTCAAAATGGAGGCAGTGACTCGGGCTCTTTGATGTGAGGGCAAGCGTTTAAAACCGTGCGCCACACTCCCGAGCCAACACAAACTCACAAAATTGAAAATTAAAACACACCCGTCGCTTACGATTTCCCTCAAGCGAACCACGATCCGCTCTGGCGCAAGTGCTCGCTAGCGTGCATGCGTGCGTGCGCTTTTTTGCTCCCAAAAACGAAATTAACACCCGCGCGCAAAGAAAAAAAAAGAAAACCGAGGCGCAGGAAAAGCTGGAAGCTTGTGTAAACGTTCGCGCTAATTCCCCGATAGTGTAATCACAACGAGCGGTTGGACGCAAGAGCTCCACATTCGGAGGTCAGCGGAGCAGCGGCGAAGCGATACTGTATTTAAAGGGGAAGGAGCGGTCGCGCCTGTAAGGGCCACGGGAAATAACAAGCGTGGGTTTTGACCGCCGTTGCGTAGCTGGCTGGCGTGCAGGCGGTGCCACTGCACTCGGTCCGAGGCACAGGGCTACAAAGCAGAGGGGGAACTGGACAGGGGACCTGCCCCGATGTAAAGCAGTGTTGTTGTTGTCAATCACTAACGTCCCACTGCGGTTGCAAAGGCCTCCCTCATTTTCTTCCATTCCTTCCTTTCGTTCGTTATGCAGTAGTGGCATCCGAAGCCTTTGATTTCGTCGCCACAGCCATCTCTTCCACCGTCTTCCTCCTGTTTATTTTTTCCCCTCTCTCAGCAGAAGAGCCTAATTCAAGCACTGCAATACACTCCCGCGGTTAATTTTGCCTCTCATCTCTGTCCAGTTTTTCTCTCATGACGTGGCCATGGCCATGACCACTCAATTTCATTTTGTTTCCTTGCACCGGGGCCCGTGCCAACCACGTTACGCCAAAGCAGGCACCGCCACTCGCTCACGCAATTCCCCCGTGCGTCTGAGTGACCCGCCAAGGGCGGTTCTCATCTGCCAGGAAACCGAAACAGTTTAGGGGCTTGAGAAGTCATCGCCCGATCCGTTCTACAAAAGCCAGAAACCAGCGATGCCTTGGCTAAGAAAATTACAAATGCCCCCGGGTGCATTCGTGTTTAATGCTAAAGCAAAAATATACAAATTCATATTTATACATGTATATATTAATTAAACCAATTCACTTGCACTGTATTTCAAGACAAGTTTTAGAAATAGCTAAAATAAAAGCGGGTGCCTGCGCGAAATGGCCAGGAGATGGCACCACGGCAGTGAATTACAACGTGCATCTGTGCAGCGCTCCGAGCGTTATCGCCATGCATGCGTTTTCTCCGAGTTCTCTGTTGTTATTACCAAGTGAGGTCTGCCAAGACTGTCAATTTAAAAAAAAAACGGGCATGGAAGTGCATAAAACGAAAATATCAATGACATTTATTATCCGGGAATGTTTCATTTATCCTCAAAGCACTTCTTCAATATGGGGTTCTGCGTCGTAGTGATCGACCAATCTGTTTCCGAGGGACGTTTTTTGCATGTGGGACAAACAACACTTAAAGGTTCACACAGACAGGTTCGCAGACCCGCTCCCCCGTATTACAATCCCCAGGCCACCCCGCATGGCACAGCGGGGTTTGTGAGGTTTCACAAATCTCCGTGTGACCCAGCAACGCTTGGTTCCAAAGCGGTAGATCCCAGGCGTGTCGCCACGCCGGCTTCTCAAGAACGAAAATAAGACTCGTGGCTTCCCAAACTGCAACTGGTCGGTGACGTCTGCAGCTCTCTGCGGTGTGTCTTCCGGTTGGACCCGTGTGACGTTCGGCACAATGTCCCGTCAAGGAGCATAAAACCATCACACGAACTCCGGCCATCCTCGCGTCAGCGGCTTTGGACTGGCCGTCGAACAAAGACGGTCACCGCATCGGGCGCTTTCAGATGCGCTTCTGCGGCCGTCTGGAACGCTCTTCCTTCTGATATGAGGAAGTCAACTTGAGCTGTGCACTTTTAAATCTAGATTGACAAACTTATTTCTTTATATCCACTTTTTTGCATTTAGTTTTTGTTGTCCTCCTCCACACCTCCAATTAGCACAGCTAGACGGTGCGAAATAAGTTCAACATATGTCCCACTCCAAATTCCTGGAACCTCGAGGGCCGGCAACTTTGCACAACCGACGACGATTGCGAGCGACTCCGTCGTTAAGTTCCTAAAGTGGCTCCCGGCACGTCGTTTTCTTTGGACACAGTTGCTGGGCGTGGGCCCAATTCAGCCAAAGCATCAAGCGGCCAGCAGCAACAAAGCAGGCCGATCAAAGTTGTAAAAGATAAGAGTTCACGTTTGTCAAATTGATAGAGTTTGGCGGAAATGACACGATGGTATTCGAAAGTCGAGCGGTCAGAGGTAACGAAGCAGAAAGGTAAGAGTTGTGACCTGCAGTGTGATGGAGCGAATCGTCGGACATCGTGTCGATCACCACGTGGTGTTCGACACGGCAAAACACATAGCAGAGTTGCACGGCACAACGCGCAAAACCTACGCAGTAGCGACTTCTGCAGTTTGGCAAGGACGCGCCATTCCTCCCACTGCTGCTGCTGCTGCCTACCCCCTCTCCTCCATCTCCAACCAACTAACTCTCGGGCCCCCCCTACCCAGCCCCCCCAACCCCGTCAACTCCCACGGGCTCAAGCCTAATGGCGCTGCTGTGCATCTGGGAGCATTTAGAGGCCGTTCTTGCTCCTTATCTCGAGCATCGAGCACGGTGCGGGGCAGAGTAAACACACAAACCGCGCCGCCTAGCCGTGTAAACACACGCCGGCCAGCCCGAGGAGCTCCCACACGGTGCCAGGAAACAATCATCCTACCTCCGGGGCAGTGCCACTCTCAGCAGAACGGGCGGCCCGGCCATCGCGGGCACTGCCACGATGGGCAGTATTTTTTTTTATTATCGTCGTCATCATCATCATCATCATTGGCCATGATCAGTCTGCCGAATGAATGTCTCCCCAAGTTGTCGCCAGCCTTCACTGTCCCGTGACGCAACGATACAACCGGCACCTGCGCAAGAGCTGATCTCATTGCTCGCTCCATCTCCACGGATGACGTGCTTTCGGTCGCTTTGCTTTCACTCGCTTTGGCTGCCACTCCGTCGTTATTCTTTCCCTTTGGCCATCAACCCTTCTAGAAACGTGTCCTGCACAAGCCCACTTGACGTTTCTTCACAGTCAACATCGTATCTTTGGCCTGTGTATGCTCACTATTCCATGCGTTCCTCTTTCTGTCTCTCAGTGTAATGCCAAGCCGCCTATTTAGTATTCTCCTATCCATGTTAAAACTTAAAAGGAGAGTTCAACATGGAAAAAAAAAACTCAAACAAGCAGCTCTTACTTGCAGAGATATTTATCAAGGCGTGCGTGTCCTGGGCTGTCCTGACATAAGGATTAAAGCTTGGTTAATGAGGAAGAAATAGGCATTAAAGTTGCAGTCGAGCGTAGAGCTGCAGCGCTATAACGGCATACTCGTTCACAGCGTTGTTTTTCTTCCAAACGCATTTTATGAACAAAACCATTCAGGTACACAACACAGAGGATATGAAAGGGGGTTGACACCAGCACAAACACATTACGGATGACAATGGAATGGAAACCTGTTTAACACGTAGGCTTTCGCGACCAATATTATTCATAATAAAGGTTTTTGGGTTAGATCGCGTTATTTATAAATGTGTCGTAACCCTCCACCACCCGACACGGCCAATCAGCAATAAAGTGTCACGTTGACAAAAGACAAATAGTTCACTGCTTTATCCCACCGGTGTGTTGAAGAGGCTAAAGTACTGAACTATTTGTCTTTTGTCAACGTGACACTTTTTTTCTGATTGGCCGTGTCGGGTGGTGGAGGGTTACGACACATTTATAAATAACGCGATCTAACCCAAAAACCTTTATTATGAATGAAAACCTGTCTCGACTGCACATTTCTAAAAACTCTCCAACCCCCTGGTGTCTTCCTAAGCTCTGATACCATTGTTCACGTATTTTTCATGTATTCTGTCCCGCCCCTATCATCTCAATTTGTTCTCTGGACAAACAAGCGCGCAAACGTACCCGAGCACATTCGGCGACGTACGGTGGGAAAGAAGTTCAACATACATACGTACGTAAGATTATCCTCTTACACAGCAGATATTGTCGACGGTGGAGGTCGTGGGGAGCGGTAGAGTAGCAGTTAGGGCGCTGCGCTACGAACCCGGCGACCCGAGTTCCATTTCTGCTCACGGCCAACATCAGTGGCGATTATCTGAACCGGTCCTGGGCCTCCCTTAGGTCGACTAAGCTTCAACCGAGTACCTGGTGGCGGTGTGTAAACATCGCCACTGGGGAGACAAAGGCGGCCGGGCGTGGTGCTGGCCACCCACCCCTCCGTGTCGGCCTTCATAGGTGCTACCCGCTAACAGCACTTGCACCCAACAGTCTCTTTAAAGGCTAGCTGGAAGAGCTTTGTGTTTGTGGGTGGAAGGCAGCAACTCACTGCGTGGCGCTCTTGTCATCATGGAAGGTGACGAAGGCCATGCCCAGGGGATTGTCGGGGATCTTCCTCTTCTCCTCCTCGCACTCGTCCGTCAGGCGCGATTCCAACGCCGTGTAGAACTCCAGCGCGTTCACCTGCGCCGGTGAGCAAACGCACGCCAAGTGGTTACAGCAAGCGGGATAACGACGGACGAGTGTGTGTGTACAACAGAGCTCCGATGTTCCTCATTCGTCTTCCAGTTGGCCCCGGGCTTTCTCCGGGTTACTCTCGGCAGTTCACGGAATCATAGCAAGGTTGAGCCTGGTTAGTACATGGAAAGTGGACTGCCTGGCAGTACCAGAGTCTGTATGATTGGACTGTGAGGTGGCCAGGAGTTGGCGGTACAGCGATGGATTTCGTCAATCGATTGGGTGCGGAATGTTTCGGTGTTATCCCCTCCGATGCGTAGGTTTAACGGCAATACACGTTTTGGATCTTCAGCCATTGGACGGCGATGGCTGCAAGCCGATGTATTGCTTCGGTGCCATCCGTCGAACAAACTGTGTTGATGGGCAACAGTGAATCAAGGCGTACGCCACCGCCACCACCACCACCACAGCGCCTGGCTCAAAATAAACTTCGTAGAGCGAGGCCTGGCAGCGCGGCGTACCTTCCTGTAGCCGTAGCAGTCGCAGCAGCACAGCTCCCCGTACATTTTGGGACGCATCGTCTCGTCCGTCATGTTGTCGTAGTACGCCCGGGCCTTGGCCGCTTTCTTCCTGCGGGGGTTCAAACAAACGAGAGCACACAGGGGCTCATTGGTCTCACGTAGGGCTCCTCGCCTGGTTCGGGAGAGCTCTTTGGACAGGAGCGTTCAGGCGAGAGGTGGGGGGGGGGGGAGGTAGGCCCTTGAGCCTGCCAAGAGTTTGCTGGCGGAGGAGGTAGGGCAGGTTGAGTGGTGGGTACAAGCAGGTGTGCAGAAGGGGAACTGAACCATGATATTTCATAGGCGAAACAGTACTGCAACATTTCTCAAATGCCATTCCTCATGTCCACTAGAGTATAGGATCACTCTCTGTTTGCCAACTTGCACAATTCAAATGCAAACTGTTGTTTCAACGGTTGAGCATGGTCATTAAAGCTCGTACCAGCATCAATTTAGTGATGCAGTACAGTGTGTAAGATATAAGAACTAGTAACTGGTAAAGAATGTATTTGGTAATACTACATTGACGGTGGTGAATTAGCGCAATTAACAAAAAACACATTCGTCAACAGCACTGTGACCCAAACAGCTAATTGTTGTACGAGGCAGAGTTAATGACGTTAGAGGTCAGGTAAGCCTGTAACGATTAAGCCCCTATATAAGTTGATGATTTATCACTACCGGATTCCGTAATCCTTTAGCAGTGAATGCAGCACCTCTATCTAATGGCTGCACGAGTCACGTGATTCATGCAGGGATCACGTGATACATACAAAGGGTCACGTGACACACATTAACGAATTGAAAATAAAAAATCGACGAGTCAACAGATCGTCACTATTGCCCGGCGAGGCGAGGAGCCGTTTCGATCGGTACCTCTCCTTGTCCAGCTTGATGAGCTTCTCAACGTTGTAGCAGAACTGCACGTCCGTGATGGTGCATGACGGGTACGCCTCGCTGCGGGCACACGCGAGACCAAGCGGCACCGTTAACGCGGCACCCGATTCACGGCGGGAGCAGTTTGCGCTGCTGCCGGAGCCTGTGCCTGAGGGGGGGGGGGGGGGGGGGTGGTGACTCCCAGCTGGTGACCTCTGAAGGTCTCGCATTAAGATTTGACGTTTCGGCTGTACCGGTTCTTACACGTTTTACGTATGCGAGAATTTGCACTTTTGCGCTTTTTGTCTCCAAAGGTTTTTTTCCAGATGTGTTCCTGGCCTCGCCAGCCAGCGGCAAACCCGGTTTAAATCGCGTGCGGCTGCAACCTGCACTCGAACTCAGCATTTCAGCGGTGCCGGCTCAGCATCTCCGACACAATATCAGTCAAAATCAAGACTCGCGCCAACTCCTCTGGTCTCACGCCACTGCTAGTCCATCTCAGGCCACCCACTTGCAAGCTCTGGTTCTGCTCATGCCTGACCTACGTGAACGTATGACCAGAGAGCTATGCATCGCAGAGAGACCCCTCTGAATGTTAAGTTTGCGGTCAGAGATCCGATTTGTCTTTTAAGACGGGGGCCCTTTGAAGGAGGCCCTCGGGCCACAGCTCGCCAAAGAAGACTCTCCGAGTGGCCCGCCGAGGCAAAGCAAAACAGATTAGTGAGATGAAGGAGAGATAAACAAGATAGATGAGAACGGAGGCACAGAATACTGCAATGAAAAAGGGATGAAAAAACCTGGAGGCAAAAGAGGCAGATTGGTGAGATTAAATAGAGGTGGCGTCGAGAGAGCTGTGGACAACAGACACACATTCGTGAAATGAAATAGAGATGATAAACAAGAGATAGAAATGAGAGAGCTGTAGACGAGAGATACACAGATTCTCGGTCACGTGCACAAACATTATGACCTCAGCGTGCCACGTGGTGTCACAACGTCCGTACAGGTGACACAACACTTCACCGCGTGACCTGCCAGCACACGCTCATTCTTATCACGTGGCCCCGCTGGAAAACTGCAGTTAAGAGAACCCTGTGCTAGGGACGGAATATCCTCCAGTTTCCTGAAACCCTCCGAGGGGGGGGGCGGGGGGGGCACAGACCCAACATGTGCACCATGCACCAGGGGGCCCCTCCCCACCCCCTCTTCGCGCCCTAATCCGGCACTGGGCACTCAACTCTCACCGTGACAATCCCCTGCCGGACTGCGAGCGCGTGACCTTTATTTTTTTGGTGGAAAAATACTTCGGAATTAATAACACGCATGTGATAATTCTTGGAAATTAAGAATCGCTCGGCGGTGACTGTCAAAGTTTTTTGGGTTTAGCCAAAATAAATCTATCCAGTGAGGGTGGAGCAGAGTGTGGATAATGTATCTCTAATTGGATGATGTATAGATTGCGGTGTAGCTCGCATTAGTTTTTATTCGATACGTCGGGACACTCTGTGGGGAGCCACTTGGCACGCCGGTCTGAGCGCGCCGTGCAGCGCCGTGCCGTGTGCGGATTATTATTTCATAAAGGAAATGTTTAGAGATTTACTGGAGGCAGCGAAGGTAAAACACGGTGAGGCATTTACCCCTACGGCCGGAAATAAATATACTCACTCATCATATGCAATTGCCAGAGCTTTATACCGCATTATTTTTCGGCAGGCTTTATACAAAAACTAGTTCTCCATTTTTTTTGGGTTGGGCCACGCCTCGTCCAGCACGACGTCCCGACGTTTCGCCCCCGTCGTGTGCTGGAGGCTCTGGTCAATTCGTGAACTGAGCAGCGATCGCCCTCTCTCCATTTCCGAAAAAACATTTCTAAAAAAGCTCCCAACGCGTGCGAGCACGTGAAGCAAAACGTCGGACAACATCCAGAAAAGAGACCAAGGGAAGCCACCCCCCCCCCCCCTCCCATATAGCCTTTAACAGACTATTGTGGCAAGTACTTTTAGCGAGCACCGATTGAGGTCGGTATAGCACATGACAGGGGGCTGTGGGCAGCACCACACCCAGCCACCTTTGTCTTCCCAATGCTGATGTTATGCTTACTTTTTTAAGGCCGATGCAGCCTAGAAGATTCCTAGGACCGGTTCAGATATTCGTTACCAGTGTTGGTCGTGAACGGGACTCGAACTCGGGTAGCCGGGTTCGTAGTGCAGTGCGTTAACCGCGACACTCCCGTATGTAATATGAACAACACGCGGTGCAGCCAACAAACAAATCGGACAGCTGTCACAGCACAACCGTGAAAACCCACTCAGGGGGTACCATAGGAACACACTCTACATGTGCACGTGCGATGAGCGTGAGTGTTACTTACTAGAAGTGGCTCTTTAGAATGTCTTCCTTGTCGAGGTGTTTGGGGATCCCGATTATAAAGAGCGTCCGTGACACCTGGCCGACACAAAAGTGAGGGTTAGGGTCAGGGTCAGTCGGGTAATGAGCAGAGAGAGGAACAGCTGGCTGTGAAAATCCTCCGTGGCCTCTCCTCTCACCTCTGGCACCGCTCATCGCGGGGTTCAAACGGCAGGGCAAAACCCCGGGGCCTTGCGTCCACAATCGCAGCCCATGCGTTCGCCGGCTGAGATGCAGTTCGACGACCGAGGAAGGATAATGTTTTTAGATAATTATTCTGGAAAAACTATATAGGAAACGTATTTTACTCGAATATAATAACTTTTTTAAACTCCCCCCCCGCCCCTTCCCCCCAAAGGTCGCAGTTTTCTGCGTAGGCTAGGCCGTGTAATTGCACGGAAAAGTACGTATCAAATTCCCACAGATCCCCCCCCCCCCACCCCCTCTACCGAGGAAGGTTGAACAAAAACGCATGTTCTTGCACTCTCTGCTGCCGGGGTGCCACGGTGACTATGAGATGTTAACTACCTCGCCTGGTATACAGGAGGTCGTGGATTCAATCCCCAACCGGACGCCTGCTGCTGTATATTTGGAGTTCGTGTTGCTCTCTCCCCGTGGTCACGTGGATTTTTCTCCGGGTCCTCCGTTTATTCCCCTCCACATTTAGGATAAACATGTGCTTAAGAGTATTTGGCTGCTATAAATTTTCACATGATAAGCCAGTTCGTTGAGCTATCATTTATGGCCTTGTCGCTTCTGAAAAAGAGCTGTATAGCTCGGTGGGCTTTACCTGGTAAAACCCAACCTTAGCGGGGTGTTTGGAATGGCACGAGATAGAGGGCAGAGGACCATTTGAAGCGAGACGCAGCACCACACACGTCCGATCGCGGTGTTCGGTGTGTGTGGGATCCGTGGCAGCTTTCCCACACGACGAGAGAAGTCGAAAAGTTTTCAAAATTGATGCCAAACTGGAAAATTAACCGCAGCGGCGGCGGACGATTTGAACATAAATCCTTCCCCGCTGGGGGCCTGATGAGAGGCGTGCGTCTCGGGGAAAAACTGTCCGGCGCAAATGTGTTTCGAATAAATAACGCAAACACGAGGAGGCTGCCATAGGATGGGCTGGCATAGATTACGGCGGTGATTTTTTTAGAGGCTGCAGCCTATATTTTTATTGTTTTTCTTAACTGGATTCATCATTTCTTTTTGTGTTTAGTTTGTTGTCCTCCCCCGCACCTCCGATTAGCACGGTTGGCTACGTACGGTGCCAAAGAAGTTCACCATACATACACAATGGTTAACGATCAATCAGATTTTCCCAAGCAACCGCGCCTTATTAAAAAATGTACGTAAAAAGGTAAAGGGGCAGCCCCAGCAATTGCTTGCTCACTTCACCGCAGGCCGGAGGGCCTTCACGAGAGAGAGTAGAATTCTAGAGACCCTCAAGAGAAAGTATTTGGTCTACTCTTCCACAATGGCCAGGCACCTTAGAAGAGCTCCTTTACATGATGATGGCACTAATAATAATAGGGGTTTTCCCCTTTTTTCTGGCAACAACACTGAAACCTTTTTACAAGGATTCATGTCTGCATTAACCACAAAACCTGCAGTCAAAATGCAAACAAAAAACATACTATGATAATATATGTGCATTGTCCTTGAAACTGATTGGTCCACACCAAGGGACGGTGTGGGACGGTGTCGACCAATCAGTTTCAAGGACAATGCATATATTATCATAGTATGTTTTTTGTTTGCATTTTGACTGCAGGTATTGTGGTTAATGCTGACATGAATCCTTGTAAAAAGGTTTCAGTTTTGTTGCCAGAAAAAAAGGGGGAAAAACCCTATTATTATATTTTGGTACTGGCAAAGGAGGTCTAATGATGATGACGGCACTATTCATCTTGTTGCTGGTGCAGTTTTTGCTGACCGGATGGAGACCAGAAACGCGCCGCACACTTGAAATCCCGGCGGCAATTCACCTCACGAGTTGATGGCACGGGATTCGAACTCAGCATCTTGGCGATCGGCTTGGGCCATTCTGAATCCCCCCGAGCCACCCCGGTGGTCGCCTCTCCTACGGTGCTCTCTAGTTTCTTGAACTCTGACCCCATGACCTCGGGAGGGGCCGGTGGCGGGTGGGGCAAGGGGGGACTCACCACTTCGTCTTCCTCGTAGGGCAGGTTGGCGCTGTGGTGGCGCATCACCAGGATGGTGATGATGAGGTAGAGGATGGCGAACATTGTATGCAGCCACAGCAGTTTGTCCCTGCGCGGAGAGGTCAGCCGTGAGAAGCGGATGGAGGAGGGGGCGGGGGGTGGGGGCGGGCGGGTGATCAAAGTGATGGAGACAGCCGTAGTGAGACATTTTGGCACCCGGGCAAGGTGCCATCATCTCCCCCTCCCCGCTCCAACAAAAAATTTGACCGCCACTGCCCAGATTCATTTCAAACGATTTGGCCCCACGCTCTCGTGGCGTCTGCTTTGGGAGGGGCGCCTGGCGTGACCACCCTGCTTTTTGTGCGTACGTATTTTCATGTACGTACATATTTGTGTGTGTTGGGCTATATACACACGTGTGTGTGCGTATGTGTTGTGTGTGGATGCATGTGTGTGTGTGTGGGGAGCGGTGGCGTCGCGGTTAGCAAGTTGCGCTACGAACCTGGCGACACGGGTTCGATTCCACTCACGGTCGACACCATTGACGATTATCTGAACCGGTGCTGGGCCTCCCCTAGGCCAACTCAGCCTCAAATGAGTACCTGACGCGGTGTGTAAACATCGCCACTAGGGAGACAAAGGCGGACTGGCGTGGTCCTGGCGCACTCACCCCCTCGTGTGCCACGCCGGCCTTCATAGGCGCTCGCTAACAGCACTTGCCCAAAAGGTCTGTTAAGGCGATACGGAGGATCTTTGTCATTGTGTCTTTGTGCTGTGTGCGTGTCCGCACGTGGTGCCTGTGCACACATGCATGTCACTCACGTGGACTCCAGGTTGCCTATTGTGGTGCGACCGAAATTGGTCGGGGAACCACCTGCGGCGTGACACATGGGACAGAACATCAACCATCAGGGCAGTGAGTTCCAGCAACTGGAAGAAAAAACATCTGACATATACACCAAGGGAGGTTAACACTGATAGTACAGACAGATTCAAGAATCCACCGCTGATCTGCCATCTCCTAGACACCCCGTAGGAAAGTATTTGACCGCACTCTTGCCACACCGGTCAGGCAAGGAAGCACAGACGCGGGAGCAAAGGAGTGCAGTACAACAATGGATTTGGTTGCACTGCCCTCTGCGGCCCACCGCACAACCTAGTCTGGGTTACCCATCCAAGCACGATTTAGGCTCATCCTTTGCTTAGCCTGTGAGAGCCAATGCGAATGGACTGTTTTAGGGTGATGTGGTCGCAGCAAAGCACTGAACCCATAATTGCCAAGGCTTGATATCTCACGAAAATTTGTGCAGGTGACACGACGTGACTAATGGTAGCCACGGCCATCGCCGGAAGTATACACTATGTGGTGTGCCAGACGTGGAAACACTTCCTGGGTCGCTGATGCAGACAGCAACCGGTTGAAATTAAGCCCCGCGCGCAAGAAACGCACGTGCGTGTGTATGCATGTAAGGAACGGTAGTGCCACGACTCACACCAGTGATGATTATCGGAAAAGGTCCTGGGGTTCCCCCTTGGTCGACTCAGCCACAAATGACTACATGGAGCGGTGTGTAGTAAACATCGCCATTGCGGGGACAAAGGCGGCCCCGGGCGTGGTGCTGGTCACCCACCCCCTCATGTGCCGTTCCGGCCTTCATTAGGTGCCACTCGCTAGCAGCACTTGAGGCCACACAGGGGATCTCTGCATTGGCCTTTGCATGTGCCACAGCGAGAGCGAGGCTCTGCACGTATGTCTGTTGCACTTCTCTCTCACACCGCAGGCAGCCACCCGTTGCTCACCCTGCAGAGTGCCTGAGAAGTTGACGGGGAGGATGACGGCGAGGGAGAGGATGCAGATGATGATGAGGAGGGCGATGATGTGGCGCTGGAACGAAAGGTAGTGCACCGCGTCGATGCCGCACTTGTGCTTGATCTCCTCATCCCTGAACGGCGACAACACGCGCGCACGTACGCACACACGCACACGAAGACAAAGACCCCCATTATAGCGCCGTTCGCGAGCACCTTTGAAGGCCGGCACGTCGCACGAGGAGGTGGGGTGGCCAGCACCACGCCCAGCCTTCGTCTCCCCCGACGCTGATGCTTATACAATGAACCAGGTATTCATTTGAGGCTGAATCAACCTTGGGGAGGCCCAGGACTGATTCAGATAATTGTCACTGCTGTTGGTCGTGAGTATAAATCGAAATCGGGTTGCCGGGTTCGTTCGCTGCTCCACTTTCGTTAACCACCCACACACATGCGCACACGCAGACAAACAAACGTTTGCACATGTACTTGCAAAAGCACACACACGCATGCACATTTGCGCACACACGCTCGCACATGCACATGTTCACATACATTAACACACGGAAACACTCAAGTGCACGTGCACACACGTACACAAAGGCACACACATGAACAATGCGTACGCACATATGCACACAAATACCACCACGCCGAAATGCATGCACAGTAACACTGGGACTCGCACCGAAATATTACCGAGTGATTTGCACAGCTGATGAATGAACGGCTCTATCCTATTGTCAGCAGGCATGTAACTAACAAATCATTGATTCAACAATTTAAATAAATGGTCACGTTCATGATACAACCGTCAAATTGTGTGTGTGTGTGTGTGCATGCATGCGAGGATAAACAGCTTGGAGCAGCGGGGTAGCTCAGAGGTCAGAGCATTGAGGTCGGATCCTGGGTTTGAATCTGCGTCACTGCCGCACGGAGATCGAACTGGGTTCCTCAAGCGTAGCGGAGCGGGTTGATGGTGTAAGCCTGGTTACCGGTGACTGCACAAAACAAGCTGTCAGATTAATTTGGTTGCTCACTGAATTGTTGCTTAAAATGCTATATATCTAAGGACACGGAGAGAAAAACACATTGTCCTGCTGTCGTGTGACAAACAGCCTCGCAGCGTGGCCACTTGAAGGCTTTTTGTTTGAGAATTCGTGAAATTATTTTCTTTCTATTTAACAGTTCTCCCGACACGTGGGTCGCCCTACTCCGAGAGATTTCCGAATGGATTCACGGTCTCGTGACGTCAATAGCACAATTTAAATAAATCGGGGAAGAGGGAGAGAGCGAACGAAGATTTGGAAATGAAATGACAATCGTGATCTGTGATGCCGAATCGTTAACATGTTGCCTTCTTTGCAAATAGGGCCCTCACAGGGTTAAACTGTCAGGGTAACAGCTGCGAGCAGAGTGTTTTATGCGGCATTTTCACACGCAAAAAAAAAAACGGAGTAACGAAACACATGTGTGACAAAATTCAAGCCATGTCCTAACAAGACCCTCCAGAAAAAATGTTTAGCTTTTCCAGGATAAAGATTTATTTTAAAAGTAGTGGGGGGTTTTTTCTCTTACATAATAGTCGCGTCATTTTATAACACAAAAAACGCTCAAGGTTTATGACTTTTACCTCACAAAATATAAAAGTGAGTGGCAGAAAGTCAGACGGTGAGTGAGCGACCACATCACTCTGTCATTGCAGTTGCTTTAAGTAACATAATAGGGTTATTTGATGTTCGTTTTTCTCCATTCAACATCGTGATAATTTTGTTCGGACTATTTTGAAAGGGATGCAAAAAAAGTTATTTTCTTAAACATTTGACGGCTGTTTAAACAACTCGGGTTTTTACAAGGTCACACGCTGTAAAATAAACCACCGCCACCGCATAAATCCGGGACGTTTACTGTGAACGGGCAATCACTTTCCTCGCAATTTTTTTCGGGTGAAATTCTACTTTTTTTCCCCCCCCCTTTCAAATTTCCTAAAAACAAACACCACGATGAATAACCCTGTCGCGATGCCCAGGCGAGAGAGCCGCAAACGTTCGGTACCGACACGCACAGCGCCGCCGCTTACTTGATCCTGAATATGGCGGTGAGCCAGGAGGCAGAAACCCTGCACGGGGGGGGGGGGCGGTGGAGGGGGCAGGGGGGTGGGTGGGTGGGCGGAGGAAGGGTAAGAAATTAAAAACGCCCGACAGTCGTATAAAGTCCGGTGGGGCAGCCAGCGCTCGCGCGCCAGCGTGCAAACACCCGCCAGCGTGCTAACTCAAACAACGACCTGACAACGGTGGCGGCAGACAGGAATGTGGCACAATTCACTGGGCCACGCGGCTTTATTCACCGGGAGATGCGTGCAAACCAGCTCGCTGTGTCTGCCACACGAGCAACAACCGTCGAGCAAACCCTCAGCGTCCGGTCCAATATTTTCTCAGCGGGTTGACGGAGTGGTTCGCTGAACAAAGCGAAGGGCTGACAAACGTGCGTCTGGTCACGCGCTCAGAAGAGTCAAGCGATGCTTCGGCACAAGCGTGTGTATGCGTATTTGCCTTTTTTCAATGAAGAATATGTGCGAGCGTGTGCATATGTATATTATAGCTGGCCAAACACTCAAATATATTGGACCACAGAGCATGGGCAAATGTTGGCACCAGTTCTGGCTGCCCTTCCCAAGCACTTGTCTGTGGCTTCACGTCGCCTCCGTGCGGAAACTTTGCACGGCACAAATTTTCCAGCGCAATTTTTGCTTTGGATGGCACCATTCTATAAAATGTAATCGTTATTACCTACAACCACCACTAACCACACGATGATGCACACACGCATAAGTAATTTATGCAACTGATTTTAATCAGTGAGTGAGTCACTGCAACTACAACGTCGTTTAAAAGAGCTAGATAGCTGAGATTTGGCACTCCTATAGTCACGTCTTCTTATAAGTAGAAAATATACAGATTAGAACATTTGAAATTATTTCCACATTGTTTTCAGGATAATTGTTTTTTAACCTTTCCATTTTTTTTACATCGAGGACGTACCCTGGAGTGGAGGTTGCGAAGCTGAATTGCAAACATCAAATAAACACACTTGGCACTCACAACACATGCATAGAATCGTGTTTGTGAGAACCGATCATTCCCGGTTATATATATTTTTTTTCTTTTGCAGAGCATGTGCGACGGTACGTTAATGTTACAACGAGGCTAACGGAAAGCACAAAATTGTACAAACACGACCTGAAAATAAATAAGACTTTAAAAAAAAGTACCAAATCTTGAATAGAATCTCTGGGCGGTGGGGAGGTGGGGGGATGCGTACCATGGCGTGCCTCACAGGGCTGCCCGTGATCCACCCCCACAATCATTCCATGACGAATTGTCGTCGTCCACGGCCGTGATTCTATCCAAGGCTTTTATTTTATTTACATTCTACCAAAATCTAGCCGCCTCTAAACGGCTTCAGGAGTCAAAGAAAGCCCCCCCCCCCCCCCCCCCCCCCCCCCCCCCCCCCCCCCCCCCTCCCCCTCCCCCCCCCCCCTCCCCCCCCCCCCCCCCCCCCCCCCCCCCCATTGCATGCAACGTACAAGCAACTGACAATCGGCGATTCGCGAGATTGGACAATCGACATTAAGCTACGAATCGATGTGTTTGCACGCCCGCAACGTCTAGCGCGTACGGATCGCGAAGCTGGCGATGGCGTTCGTGGATTGGAAGGTTTTTTCTGGGCCAGACACCGCTCCGTGTGCCGCCGCCAGCCTCGCACGAGGGGCCTCTCCGTCTCAGAGCAGATTTAATTTTCACGCAGGATGACGAAAAGCTTTCCATTAACACATGCGTGCCGTAACCGAGTCCCATTCATCACCCAGAGGGAAGGGCTGAGAGCGGTGTGCGGTGGGAGTGAAGGACAGCAGAGGAAGGAGCCGGGACAGAAACAACAACATCACACAGGCGCGCACCCAGATGAAAGACAACAACAACAGCTGCCATTCCACACTAAGTCGCGGTGACGTCACAACAGGGTTTGTGCCAGGCTATGTGTACTTTGAGGTCACGTGTAGTTTCGAACGCTCGCTGACAGGAGGTCACGGGACAGATCCCGATGTTATGGGTTGACTGTCTGTCTGACTCAGTCAGTCAGACGGAATGCACACACAGACACAGACACACACGTATCCAGACAGAAGACACATATGCATGCACCCAGACAGACGACACACGCAGACACACACACCCAAACCCAGACGGAAGATGCAGACATATGCCACGCACCCAGACAGAAGGCACACAGACACACACATGCATGCAAGGCACACGCAGGCATGCACAAACACAAGACCCCCATATAACGATAACACTTTTGGGGGAAGTGACGTTAGCGAGCACCTATGAAGGCTGGCACTACTGCACACAAGGGGGTGGGTGGGGGCCAGGAACACGCCCGGCCACCTTTGTCTGCCTCGTGGAAATATTTACACACTACATCAGGTACTCATTTGAGACTGAGTCGACCTACAGGAGGCGCAGGATCGGTTCAGATAAACGTCACTGATGATGGCTGCGAGCGGGACTCAAACTCGGTTCCTCGGGTTCGTATTGCAGCATGCCAACTGCTGCACCAGCACTCCCCACACGCAGACACACACACAGAGACACAAACACACACGGACATACACAGTCTCACACACACACAGACAGATATAAACAAACACAAACACACAGAAGTGATTCATCATGCACTGGTAGTGGGGGTGACAGGCGCGCGCACAGGGAAGGGTCGCTGGGCTGGTGGTTGAGGAGCGATGTCAGAGTTGGGTGGGGTGGTGTGAGCGATTATTGTGGACTGGGACGGGGGGGGGTCAGTGATGGCAATGAGGGGGGGGGGGGCCGCATGGGAGGGGGGGGGGCTGAAGTCCTTGTTCGCAGCCAAGCGTCAAAAACCCGGCTGCTCAATTAGCACAATTATAACCGCGGAACCCCCAGAGACCGGCGAGCACGCACCCATAGATTCCCTCGCTCGTCTGACACATTAATGATGCAAAAACACCCACTCGCAAACGAGCGAGCACCACGATTGGCGACTTCCCCGCGCGGGGCACATCTCACTCCCACGCGCGCAGCTGCGTCACGAGCGCACGAGGGACGCCCGAATCGCCCCGCCGCCCGACCCGCGCCCATAACCCACAGGGCGGCATCGGCTCCCCGCTCGTCGTTTATACCCCCACTGCCCGTCACCCGAACTTGCCCGTCGGTTTTACCTCGTCCGCTTGCTGGTCCCGACCGGTCCTCGATCCCCCCCTCCCCTCCTCCTCGCTCGCTCGGCCAGTAGCCCGCGCGTCCCCGCTCGCCCGCCCTCGTTGAGACGCTGCCCAAATGGCGCCACGCTCCGTTACCGCCGCGCAAAAAACGAAATCGCAAACGGACGCCAGAGGTTGGATGTCCGTTTGCGATGTCCGCCTCTTGTCGCTGACAGTGCACGTTCGGTTACAGAAGCGCGGGAGGAAGTGAGAGGGACCGATTTGTAACGGTCCAAGCGTTTCTGTTCTTACCGGGTCATAAGACGCAGTTACATTTCTTGTTGGCGCAAGTTGAAGAAACCAAATGAAGGTTGCATAATTTTAAACGCCCCGCCCCCGCCCCACCCCGACACCTGACGTTTCGCGCCGACGGGAAAAAAACCCACCCAGTGAAGTGATTTATTTGGGCTGGATTAACTTAAAAGTGAATTTCAGGCATCTATTACAAACCACAACGGGTGGTGGGGCTCACCACACCACGGCACTCTCATTTAGCTCACCCTAACGAGGCGACTTCACGAGCAGCGACGGTCGTGTCCAATGCCTTTAGCGCCACCGTACATCCTCGGCGCTCGATTATTATTTTTAAAAAACGTAATTTTACAAATTCCCACGTCTGACCGCGGGCGTGCATCGCCAATTCGAAAACGAAGCCAATAAAAAAATGGCAAAGTGCGTCTTCGTGGCTCACTGCACAATTACCTGGTAACGAGCGATGGCCAATTGGAAGGCAATTATCAAATGCGTACAAATAAACGGCTTCCTCCTCCCTATCCGTCCGGCGAGCGATGCGGCAGTGGCTGAATTAACGACCGAAAAACCACTTTAAACAGGGCCTGCCTGCTGGGAACTCGCAAAAAATCGGGACAGTTAATGCTCCTTAACATCCGAGGGAGACACCGCACTGACGCGCGGCGAGAAGGCAACGTTCAAAGTAGCTCGCCCCCTGCGTTCTGGCACTTTTCCCATCTTCAGTTGTTTGTAATTAATGCATTTTTAATGTGGGGTTGCAGTTTAATTTTATCCTTTGATTAAACAATTTGAGAAAGAGAAAAAAAAAACCCCGCCAAGTTTTTTTAATTTAATTCCGCCCATCCTTTTTCAGTTAGCGGCTTTGCGCGCGTGTACACGCAGTATGTTGCGCGCGAGCCTCTCTACCGGACCCCAATACTTCTGCTCTGGATTAAATTAAAAGGAGCAATTTCAACCGCAGCGGCTTTTTCTTTTCTTTTTTAGCAGATTATCTCTTCTCAGTGAGCTCCCAATGCCGAATCGTATCACTTTCTCCAAATTTGGTCACCCCTCGCCGTACAATTCTGGGCGTATTCGCACAGATGTGTACACCGCTACGCACTGGCCCACCAAAAAAGGGTACAAAGCTGCATTTTTTGTTAATTTTTTTTTGCCGCTAGTGTGCCCGTGAGCGCGTGTTTGTGTAAAAAAAGATTATTTTTTCCAAAACACAGAATCGTTCAAACATCGACGCCCACTCACGCGGCGATGACGATCGCTGCCCCGCGGCGAAAGCGCGCAGATTTCAAACACTGCCCTTGACGAGGTCGATAAATAAACGAAAACAGAGCGGCGGTGACGGCGATGACGATGGTCGTGACGGTGGCGAGCTCTTCAAACTAAACGCTCTCAAAAAGCTTTCACGCTGCTTGAGGGCAATCGCCAACAACATATCGCGCAATGGCAAGCGACCGTTTGATTGCAAGCCAATTCTCAGGCCCCACGCTATGCGGCGCATCGAGGGAAAGTGCCTGCTCGTGTCGCGCGGAGCACGCGCGTGTGCAAGCGAGCAAAGACGGAGCGGACGAGACGACGAAATGGAGGCAAGCAGAAAAAAAAGAATCGATCCTGAAATAGCGAGGGCTCTTTGAATCGCCGCCGAGGTTTTGGAGGGGTGCCGTAACGTTAAGGTGCCTGCTCGCAAGCACTTGCACAGCAAACGCGCGCGCGCGCCGAGCGATGATGAGACGACGGTGGTCAAGTGCTCCACCGTTTGGGTTTGAAGTCATGAATTTGGGACAGGGGCCAAGTGGCTCAGAGGTCACAGCACTGAGCTGGCGATGCAGAGTCCCTGGGTTTCGAGTGCCCGTGATTCGAAAGCGTGGAACGAGTCGGAAGGCCTCAAAACCTGGCTACCGATGACGGCAAAGAGTCAACGCACTCAATTTAACTTCTCGCCAAATTTGTCTAAACTTCTCCGCTCACAATTGTTTAAACGATAGTTTGAGTGCCATGCGACTTGACACTCCAACTGTGGGAAAGTGTGACCCCACCCGCCCCCCCCCCCCCCCCCCAATGCGTAAGCGATAAAGAGGCCACTTGAGATAATTTTTGGGAGACGTCCCATCCAACGATTCCGAGTGCAGCCATTGTCGTACACAATTAGCGCACAGCTCTGAGAGATTTCCGAAATGGGACTTTCCACCTCACAACGTCTTGGCACGGTGGCAACAGCGCGAAACTGGGAGGAATGTGGGAAAGGTCACGAGGGGTGCGGGGGGGCGGGGCAGGGCGAGTGGCCCACCTTGTCCTTGCTCTCGTAGTCGGTGACGCTATTCTGCGTCTCCAGCTGGGGGCGACTGTTCCTCTCCTTGTACAGCCCCGTGAAGCTGTAGAATGCAGAGAGAGCGAGAGAGAGAGTGAGAGAGAGACACCGCGAGGGCATAAGCAAAAGGGATTCATCAATATTTTCCGGGTCGCCGGTAGACCGGAGTAAGATGATACATAAGCAGTAGCCAACGGCCATAGCGAGAGGTACATACAAATGTGGACATAGATATTCTGAGTTGCTCTTCCAGGCAGACCTGGCTGTCATTAAGCAGCGTGACAACCGCTGTAAGTCGCCTGGCGTACTATCGCCGACGCTCAACGGTGAACTTTTGCCTTTTCTCAATCACTAAAGTACAGAGTGATGAAAGAGAGCGGGAAAGCATCGTGAACTCGTGTCCACTGCTAGCGTTCTCCAAGGGCGCGATTCGCACTCGCAGCGCTCTTAAGCCAGCGGCTGGATTCACACAACTTAAGACGTCGATTTATAGCTGCTACTCAATTCGTATCCATTACGAAACAGAGAAGTATGGTGTGCATGCAGGGATGATGCAACATTTGGGGGTCGGGGAAATGCTAATGAAGTGCTGATGGTGTCATTAATAACTACAATGTGACGCTCACACTCACTCTTACCAGTTGAGCAGTTGTTTGTAATTTAACTTGAGCACTCGAGTGCATCCTTGTTTACACCTGTCATCGATTTTAGGTTCGCACCGAGAAAACACGACGACCGGTTGATAAACGTGCCGTAAAAATAATAGCTTTTTTTATAGTCGTCGTCGTCATCATCATCTACGTACGTACCATCAGGCATATCCTTGAAAGGACAAAATGGTATCAAGTAGCGCGACGCTTGGTTTTTTTAATCGACTCTGAAAAGGTGTTTAAATTGGTGAAAAGTGGTGCGGCGTTCCAATCTCTCGCAAAGCGAAAAGCCTTAATATAAAAATACTATTTACGGACACAATCAAAACGACTTGCAAACAAGCAATCGCAAACACTGAGATCGCACGAAGATCGACAAAATACGAGAGGAGTTGGGCAAGGGGGATTCGCACTCGCCAAAGCCGTTTCAACCGCACCATGAGAAGATATTTAAAAACAAAATCCTTAATTTAACCAAAACAACCTCAAGGCCTTATTCAGGCAAATTCCTTTTCTGTCGGTGCAATTTTTGCAAGTGGGCGAATAAACCGGAGTGCCTGGAGAAAACTCACGCAACTCTTAAAAAAAACAGACTCGTGATAAAACCGGAGTAGAGTGGAAAACACTTAGTGGCCAAGAAACAACTAATTATAATGTCAACTTGTAACGCGCCACACAGAACTCTTGGGCTCTCGGAGAGGGAGAACGCGACACAGAGGTGCGAGAAAACAAAAAAAGGCTGAGCCGGTGCCAAATTTCTCTCCAAGCTCTGCGATCCTCTATATAGTAAGGTGTTATCGGCCAATTAATGAGTGTAGTTACAGGGGCAGTGCTGTTTTATTACACATTTTGCATTAATACCACACAGTTGTTTTTTTTAACATTATTTGTCAGGGGCGGAGCAAGGATTTTGACTTTGGGGGGGCTGACTTCAATATTCTGAGATATCCAGTGTATGTTTTCCAATGGGCGCCACAAATATAGAAAACTAATTTTATTGGATTTGAACGCGGAGTTTATTAATAGGTCGGAGCCGCTGATGTGGCTAATAAGTTCGAAAGGCTGCCGCTCAAGCAGCCTGCAGGGCAGCACAAGGTGGCAGCCTGCAGGGCAGCACAAGGTGGCAGCCTGCAGGGCAGCACAAGGTGGCAGCCTGCAGGGCAGCACAAGGTGGCAGGCAGCATTTTGCAGCAGCCGGATATCCGGTTATCCCGATTACCGACTTTCCCAAAATTTCAGGGGGGGGCTCAGCCCCCCCAACCCCCCCTGTGGCTCCGCCCCTGTTATTTGTACATAAGTGTTACTTACTCTTCCCACTGTCAGGGTCATCTTAGATCCAGGGCCTAAAGTTCAAAAAACACATTCCGCTTTCTCTCATTTCCCGTGTCCATATCTTTAAACGTCAACCCGTCGTCTTGGACGTCATGCTGCCACCATCGTTCTCAAGCCAAAACAGGCGGCCTCTTTGGTGCACGGATAATCAACTTGTGCTCAATGCCACGATTAGTATTAACGTTTCCGTGCACGTCACAAAAGTGTTTCCGAAGCTATTCGGTTACAGCGCAGCAGAGTCGGTGTTTTTATAATTTTTCTTTGTTTTCCGCTTGACCGATTGGTCGTATAAGCTATCAGTTTGATCCCAGGGAGGGCAATTTGTTGGGAGACTATTCACCCCGTCACTCGATACCTACCTGGTGGCAGCAATTTCTGAAATTGGTTCGGCGCAATTTGGGCCAGCTCCGAATTTTCGTGATCAAAGCCACCCTCCTACCTACGCCCGCTCGGCCACCCACGTCAAAAACGCGAATCAGCCGGGGGCGCGCGAGATGCGGATAACACAGCCCCCCTTAAGTGACGAACTGCTATAGATGATACATGTACAAGGGGGGGGGGGGGGTATTTCACCACAACGCCCGTGACCAAATCACCCGGATCACGCTGGATCTATTCCAATCTGGGAAGCTAATCGGGGTTGAGGCTGGATAGTGCTTGGATGGGTGACCGCCACGAATAAAACGGGCGGTGTAGCTTGCCTGCCTGCCACGTTATCAGCAGAGAGCTGTGCAGAATAATATATGGTTCTGTTGTAATCATGCTCCAACGTCGTACGCTCCCCCCCCCACCATCCCAGTCTTCTTCGACCAACCCTGACCAGCGTGAAGTGTGGTCAAACAACCCTCACCGCCCGCACAGCGCGGGGAGGCTCTCGCGCAGCAGTGGGAAGATACAAACTGGCTCTTCGTGTCACGTCTACAATTTGGAGAAGCGTCGTACGAAGCGCTGCCGTTTCACATATTTAGCTGCGTGCTCCTGAGAATTGACAGGTGGCCCTAGATCGTTAGAATCACTTGAGGCGGAGAGTTGCAATAAAGGTAGAGCGGCAAACGTACTAGTTGTAGTCCTTCCATCGGCCCGCGACCAGAGGCCTGCAAGAGACGCGCACACACGCAAAAGACAACGCAGCGTCAAAACACAGGTCGCTCCGAAAACGGCAAACGTCCCCCCTCCCCCCCCCGCCCCCCCCGTGGAAACAACCGAGGCCCGGGCCCAAGCACGATAGCCGCTCTCGGAGTTCGACTCCATTTGAGTTGTTACACGGACGACGCCACTTCGCTGGATTCCCCGGCTCTTGTACACGGGAGATCCGTGGTGCCGCGCGAGCACGGTGGCAACGACAGCAGCAAATAAAGAAGAAGCGACACAAACACACGACGGGTATTGCAGAGAACGAGCACAGCGGGCCCCTCCCCCCCCCCCCCCCCTCAAGGGATATTGCACAACAAAAAAGGTATTCGACAGTCAACTGTATTAAAGTAATTTAAAAAGCGCAGCGACTTCCTCAAGTCTGCGAGAGGTCACTACATTAACCACAATGTAAAAAAACAAACATTTTTGCGATCAAATTGAATCGCGACATTTCATTATCGCAAGGCTTGGCACATTTGTGTGTGGAGTAGGAGGGGGCTGGAAGGAGAGGAGGGGGTGGTGGGGGAGTGCTCATTGCACCCCTCGAAGTCGCCCACAGGCCGCGAGACGTGGAACGAGCCCTCGGTGCCCCTTCCAACTAAAACTCTCGACTTCAAAACGCTTTCTTTTTTTCCACTTCACTCCGTTTGAAATAAAACTCCACGTGGCGGCATCTGTAAAGCCGCTGGCGGCGGACGCAGGTCCGGGGCAAACGGCTCGTGGCTCGTCTCTCGCCCGACTCGAAGCGCGGCGGCCCGAAACCGTGGCCGGTGGCAAGGACGCTAACCGGGAGGAACGTGTCCAAAAAAGACAAAGATCCCCCGTATAGCCTTAACAGACTGTAGGGGCAAGTGCTGTTAGCGAGCATCTATGAAGGCCGGAACGGTACACGAGGGGGTGGGGTGGCCAGCACCACGCCCGACCGCCTTTGTCTCCCCAGTGGCAATGTTTTTATCCACCGCACCAGGTACTCATTTGAGGCTGAGTCGACCTAGGCGAGGCCCAGGACCGGTTCAGAAAATCGTCACTGGTGTTGGCCGTGAGCGGGAATCGAACCCGGGTCGCCAGGTTCATAGCGCAGCGCGCTAACCGCTACACTACCGTCCACACACACACACGGCTCGCAATGACGACGGAGTTATTTGTTGCGATACCTTTTTTGTTGTTGTTTGTGCTTTTTTGTTTCGGTGCCATTTCTTTTCTTTGATTATTCATTCTTGATTTTGCTCGGTAGTAGGGTTTTCATAACAATGTTTTTTTTTTATTTTAGTTAGATCGCCGAAGTATAAATGTGTCATTAACCCGCCACCGCTCGACACAGCCAACCGGAAAGGTTTGTCATGTAAACAAAACATTCCGATTAGTTACTACTTCAGCCCACCGGTGTGTTGGAGAGTAAACCCACAACATTTACAGTTTGATTATGACGTTTCGCTGGTAATTACATCCAGGATCATCAGGCGATTTTGCCAGAATTGTACTTAGGCGATCTAACCCAAAAAATCTTTATCATAAATAATATTGGCCGTGAAAGCCTAGGTGTCAAACTCAGTAGGGTTTTCATTTGCTGTATTTGGGATTTGGTCCTTATGCATAATTCATGTACAGCGTTATGGGATGCTATCAGCATGAATGATGCTATATAAAACGAACGTGTTTTGTTTATTACTATTATTGATGGCGTTTCCCACTCGATTCACATTCACGCTCCACCGCGCAAATGCCCCATCGCAAGCGGCGTGGCCCACATCGTCACAACAGATTAATAGTGAACGGAGTTTGCTCCAGGGTTTAATACACATACAGGGTACAGGGACTCCTCTACTTACGAACATTCGACTTATGAACTTTCAGAGACACGAACAAACCTGTCCGTATATCCAGTTGCCTTTTCGGACCGAGAGCTTTAAGTTCAGCCGCCACACAATCGATGGTGGTGGCGGCATCTACATCTGCAGAACCAGTGGCATCTACATCAACTGGAGATTATACAACTTTTAAAACTATTCCCCATTTTAGTGTACATGCCGCATAACATGTTTGGAATTGACAGGAGTAAAGTTGGAGTTTTGAAGAAATCGACTTACGAACAGACCTCTGGAACCTAACTCGTTCGTAAGTAGAGTCCCTGTATCATTATTGATGATCGTGATCATCATCATGGTCATCATTTGTCATCGGTCGGCTATAGTCAATCCACTGCTGCATAAAGGCCTCGCTCCGAGTCGTCGCCACCATTACGCCTAGCATCTGCGTAAGCTTCTGGAGTCCTCTGCCCAATGGGTATTCTTTGGCAAAACATTTTCTCCAGGCTGTCTTCTTCATTTCACTGTATGGATCCCTTACTTGCCTTCAAGTCTTCGAGGGGAATATAATTTGTAGAATATGAAAATGCATTTGACTCGGAGGAAATGAAAGCAAGCCATCCAAGCCCGGACAAACCGGGGGAGGGGCATAAAGAAATATAGAAACAATGGAAGCCGTTTACAAAAATGGAACAGCAAAAAGAGATTGCATGTCCGACAAGGTGACACGTCTTGGGCAAGTCATTCAAATTGGACCAGCGAAACAAAGGTACAGATATGAATGTAGAATAATCAACCATCTCGGTTGATGCTGACGACACATCGACAGTAATCGACTCACGTGTCTTTGAATTCGCAAGCACGAGACCATGGGCTGCTGCTTAATTAAATTTGTCAAAACGCTCTTTTGTTGCTGTAATAACGTGCACACATTTCAGGCTGCAATGAACACAAATAAAGCCTATTTTTACTCTCCGTCTTGGGAAATGGCAACAACAAAAATCTCTCTTACGAGCTTCTTACTTCGGCTACCTTGAATATAGCTCGGGCAGCCGAATTTTTTTTTTTTATTCACCGCACAAACCTTTCATCACGGGGGAAATAAAACAAAACGGCAGGACGACAACCTGGGTGAACCACCAAAGCGAGCTGTCGGGCTCGCCGGGGGAAAAGCTCCGTCATCAATCTCGCGAGAAAGGGGGGGGGGGGGTGCAGAAACAGGCGGCCGTCCCTTTTCAAACAAGCAACGCGCGAGGCCGGGCCTTTGGGTAAACATTTACGGAGCGCCAGCGGGTCCTGGAAGCGTCTGCTCCTCGCGACACGGGGCCCCCGTCGGATCCTCCGCGTGTCGGAGAGGAATGGAAGGACCCCCCCCCACTTCTCCCTCAGCCCCCCACGCCACCACCCCAGGCTCCAGGATCCTATTTCAATTGGAGTACCCCTCCTCCCCGTTCCCCGCCCCCCCCCCCCCCTCCACCAAACTCACAAAAAAACCCCAAAAGTGTTTTGGCGAGCACCGAATATTTGTGGAAGACGTTAGAGAAGCCCCTCTCTGAGGTTGTTGAAAGGCAGCCGACCCGACGGAAACTCTCGCTTTACAGAGAGAAAAGGGTATCGAGTGTTAAATTGAGGATAATCGTCCGGAACGCGTGGGGGTTTTACTGCTGCTGCCCTTCTCATTATTACGCCGGACTGACCGCCCGCCTGCCACGAGGGCGAATCTGCGTGATACCATAATGGGGGGGGGGGGGGGGGGGGGGGGGCATATCCCCCTCCTCCCTCCCCCACCGGGTTCAATTCGCGGTCACGGCCGATATCAGCGCCGCCGAGTGGTATTCGAGCCGATTCTGCACCCTCCTCCAACACCCCCCCGCCCCGCCCGTCACCACCCGACCGACCGACCGACCGACCGACGCTTACCAACCGCGAAGTATGGCTCAAACAATCCCCACGACCGACGCAGCCCTCGTCCGATGTTGGATCGACAGACGGCTGCACATTACAAGTTGGGGCAGGAGCTTCGTTGGCTGTAAAAAAAACTTTTGAGTTCGAACCCAAATGCATCTACTTGTCACGGGTGCGTCACAAAACCATCGATTCACAAGTCCGCGACAGGCGCACGAGTTCACACGACGCGCAGAGAACGCCTCGCACTCGCATCACTGCTGCGGGGGCCGGGAGCGATTCACAACCTCCTCCCCCCACCCCGCATTCCCCTCAGGGGAATCAATGAACAGCCACGATTCCTTGTCGAGATTGATTTTAAAGCAATCAATTCTATTATTTAAAAAAAAATTGCCGTGATTGTCACAGCAGCCTCTCGCGGCCGCAGGGACTCACAGGAACCCTCCTGGCAACACAACGGCTCCTACACGTCCATGGCATTCAATGGCGCCCCTTTCGTGCGCTTGAGGATTGACTGTAATCAATGAACGGACAGATTATTATACACGCCCCTAGTCGTCGTTACATACGGGCGCCTTTCGACCGAAAATCGCGTGAGGAAAACGTTGCGGAGCGCTCGCCGGCCCTCCAACGATCCGGGGTTGAAGAGGGCAAGAACAATCAGCCCGGCTCAATTTGCGCAACAAGGGGTTTTCGGGGCAAAAGCTGAACCCGAAACACGCGGCCAGGCCGTACAGATTGTTTTGGGACCGAGCCCAATTCCTCCGTTCGTCCACCTTAGCGGGCGGCCGCCTGTCTGCGGACTTCTCTTGGGAATTAAATCGTCTTCTTCTTCTTCTAAGCCAAAGGTCCCATTACTGCATGGAGGACGGCTGCATGGATTTTCTTTCTGGAACAGCTTCTTTCGATTAAACTATACGATTCTTATTTTACCAGATAAGGCCCACTGAGCTACACAGCTCTTTTTCAGAAGGGACTTGGCGGCAAATGATAGCTCAACGAAGTGGCTTATCATCACGTGGAAATTTATAGCAGCCAAATACTCTAAATGCATGTTTATAAATGTGGAGGGGAAAAATGGAGGATCCAGAGAAAAATTCACACGACCATGGGGAGAGAGACATGCTAACTCCAAAAATAGAGGCGTCAGGGTTGGGATTAAACCCATGACCTCCTGCATACCAGTCGAGGTAGTTCACATCTCACCACTGTGGCTCCCAATTCCGCGCCTCTTCTCTCATTACGTCCAC